GGGAATCCTTTGTTGGGAGGTAATTAGCTGTCCCTGATTGTTTCTTTTGTGGTGAAAGTTGGGCATGGGGGAATCCTTTGTTGAGAGGTGATTAGCTGTCCCTGATTGTTTCTTATGTGGTGAAAGCTTTTAGGTGTAGCTTGTTATTGCCTGGGGGACTCCTTTGTTGAGAGGTGATTGGCAGTCTCCGATTGTTTCTTATATAGTGAAGGTTTTTAGGTGTAGCTTGTTACTGCCTGGGGGAATCCTTTGTTGAGAGGTGATTGGCTGTTCCCGATTGTTTCTCATGTGGTGGAAGTTTTTTGGTGTAGCTTGTTACTGCCTGGGGGAATCCTTTGTTGAGAGGTAATTGGCTGTCTCCGATTGTTTCTTATATAGTGAAGGTTTTTAGGTGTAGCTTGTTACTGCCTGGGGGAATCCTTCGTTGGGAGATGATTAGCTGTCCCTGATTGTTTTCTATGTGGAGTCCCCCTGTTTCCAAAAGATCTCACAACCTCTGAGGATGCCTGCCAATGATGCAGACAAAACGTCAGGAGAGAATGCTTCTAAAACTGGGTTGTTGTAGGTTTTCCGAGCTGTTGCCTTTGACAACACAGCCCGAAAAACCCACAACAACCCAGTGATTCTGGCCATGAAGACCTTCGACAATACATCTTCCAATTCCATTCGCCCCAGGAAGATCCAGTATGAAGATGACGCCGGAGGGCCTGCATCGTGGTTTGAGCATCGGGCTCTGACTCGCTGCAGCACTTTTTAGAAGCCTGATTTCTGACTTCTCCGTCACTTTCTTGGCTTCCAAACCCATTCTATGAAGCGAAAACGTTCCAAAGAAATCCGTCTCCTCTTCCCACCCATCTCTTTGCGCCAAAGAAGTCATCCACATTCCAGGATGTGACTCACTCAACGCTGGTCACTTTGGAGGGAGAACCTTCCTTTGGGATTATGGGAAGAAGGGTAATCCATACACTTTTTTGGCTTCAGAGTTTGCGGCAAACTTGAGCCAGAGTTTGGGTGCCAAAATTCCAGCAACACATTTCCCAGCAATGTTTGCAGGGAGATATATATATATATATATATATATATATATATATATATATATCTTCTCGAAATGAATCCTGTTTGCTAGAAATCCCTCATATCACACTGCTGCTAATAAGTTTCTCTGACTGTGAGAGGTCTCTGTGAAAGAGGGAGCTCAGTGTGTTAGTAGGCCTCAGTGTGAGAAGGCCTCAGTATTAGTTCCCCTCAGCGTGAGAGTGGCATAATAATAATAATAATAATAATAATAATAATAATAATAATAATAATAAAGTCTGAGAGGGCCCTCAGAGGGAGAAGGCCTCAGTGGGAGAAAGGCCTCAGTGTTAGTTCACCTCAGTGTGAGAGTGGCACCAGTCTGAGAGAGCCCTCAGTGGGAGAAGGCCTCAGTAAGAGAAAGGCCTCAGTGGTAGTTCACTTCAGTGTGAGAATGGCATCAGTCTGAGAGAGCCCTCAGTGAGAGAAGGCCTCAGTGGGAGAAAGGCCTCAGTGTTAGTTCACCTCAGTGTGAGAGTGGCATCGGTCTGAGAGAGCCCTCAGTGGGAGAAGGCCTCAGTGGGAGAAAGGCCTCAGTGTGAGAGTGGCATCAGTCTGAGAGAGCCCTCAGTGGGAGAAGGCCTCAGTAAGAGAAAGGCCTCGGTGTTAGTTCACTTCAGTGTGAGAGTGCCATCAGTCTGAGAGAGCCCTCAGTGGGAGAAGGCCTCAGTGTTAGTTCACCTCAGTGTGAGAGTGGCATCAGCCTGAGAGAGCCCTCAGTGGGAGAAGGCCTCAGTGGGAGAAAGGCCTCAATGTTAGTTCACCTCAGTGTGAAAGTGGCATCAGTCTGAGAGAGCCCTCAGTGGGAGAAGGCCTCAGTGGGAGAAAGGCCTCAGTGTTAGTTCACCTCAGTGTGAGAGTGGCATCAGTCTGAGAGACCCCTCAGTGGGAGAAGCCCTCAGTGTGAGGTATGCCTCAGTGTTACTAGGCTTCAGTATGAGAAGGCCTGATATGAGAATCTTCGGTGTGAGAGAAGCCCAAGGTTGAAGGCCATCATGTGTAAAGCTCCGGTGTGAAGGCTGCTGCGTGTGAAATAATGATAATAATAATAATAATAATAATAATAATAATAATAATAATATTTATTTATACCCCGCCACCATCTCCCCCAACAGGGACTCGGGGCGGCTCCCATGAGGCTAAGCCCAGACAACAAATTACAATAAAATAAGATACAAGTTACAATAAAATAAACAATATCGTAATAAAGTTCGAAACATAAGAATACAATAGACAATATACAAAAAAAGGGGAACCAAACATAATAACAGTGAGTGGGCCCCATGTACAAAAATTGAAAAAGCTGCTGTGTGAAGGTCCTGTGTAACTTCAGTGTAAGAGGAGGCAAAGGTGTTGAGAGTGGCTTGTAGGTCTTCTTCTGAATGTGCACAGACTACGTTATCATCGGCATATTGGAGTTCTGTAACAGATGTTGCAGGTTTTCTTCTGAATGCGCACAGACTACATTATCATCGGCATATTGGAGTTCTGTAACAGATGTTGTAGGTTTTCTTCTGAATGCGCACAGACTACATTATCATCATTGGAGGTCTGTAACAGATGTTGTAGGTCTTCTTCTGAATGCACAGACTACATTATCATCAGCATATTGGAGTTATGTAACAGATGTTGTAGGTATTCTTCTGAATGGGCACAGACTAGGTTATCATCAGTGTATTGAGGTTCAGTAACAGATATTGCAGGTCTTCTTCTAAATGCGCAGACTATGTTATCATCAGTGTATTGGAGTTCTATAACAGATGTTGCAGGTCTTCTTCTGAATGCGCACAGACTAGGTTATCATCAGCATATTGGAGTTCTATAACAGATGTTGTGAGTTTGGTTTTGGCTTTCAGTCTGCTGAGGTTAAATAGCTTTATCTGATATTTATTCTACTGTGTAGATGCACCCTTTGATACCCTTTCGTACCCTGAAAGGCTTGAAGGGTTTTAAATAAATATTCATTATCTCTCTCTTTCTTTCTTTCTTTCTTTCTTTCTTTCTTTCTCTTCCTCTTTCTTCTTTCTTCTTTCTTTATTTCTTTCCCCTCCTTCCTTCCCTCCCTCCTTCCCTCTCTCTGGAATGACAGAGAAATGAGGGAAAGCATTCCAAAAATGCACTCCCAGCCCTAAGTGGTATCGTGCATTCTTCCTTTGGCAAAAATCCCTTGCCACTCTAAATAGGAAACGAACTAGACTCTGAAAAGGACGGACAGAAGTACAAAAGAACTACGTACAGTTGGATTCGGATCCATTGCTTCTTATTTTCAATAAGAAGTGCATTGTATGGCCTTGCAGTTTCAAAGCCTGGCTGGTTACTGCCTGGGGGAATCCTTTGTTGGAATGTCCAGGATGGGAGAAAGAACTCTTGTCTGTTGGAGGCAAGTGTGACTGTTACAGTTGGCCACCTTGATTAGCATCGAATGGCCTTGCAGCATCAAAACCTGGCTGGTTGCTGCCTAAGGGAATGCTTTGTCGGGAGGCGTTGAGAGATGTTCCCTGGCCTTCTCCACTGGAATCTCTTTTCTGGGTTGCTGTGAATTTTCTGGGCTGTCTGGCTATGTTCCAGAAGCATTCTCTCCTGACGTTTCACCCACATATATGGCAGGCATCCTCAGAGGTTGTGAGGTCTGGAATGTCCATGGTAGGGGGAAAGAACTCTTGTCTGTTGGAGGCAAGTGTGAATGTTGCAAATGGCCAACTTGATTAGCATTGAATGGCCTTGCAGCTTCAAAGCCTTGCTGGTTGCTGCCTGGGGGGAATCCTTTGTTGGAATGCCCATGATGGAAAAAAAAACCTCTTGTATGTTGGAGGCAAGTGGGAATGTTGCCATTGATTGATTAGCATTGAATGGCCTTGCAGCTTCAAAACCTGGCTGGTTGCTGCCTCAGTTGTGAGGTCTGTTGGAAATTACGCAATAATGTCCAGGGTGGGTGAAAGAACTCTTTGTCTGTTGGAGGCAAGTGTGAATGTTGCAGTTGGCCAGCTTGATTAGCATTGAATGGCCTTGCAGCTTCAAAGCCTAGCTGGTTGCTGCCTCAGTTGTGAGTTCTATTGGAAATTACGCAATAATGTCCAGGGTGGGAGAAAGAACTCTTTGTCTGTTGGAGGCAAGTGGGAATGTTGCAAACGGCCACCTTGATTAGCATTGAAAGGCCTTGCAGCTTCAAAGCCTGGCTGGTTGCTGCCTCGGTTGTGAGTTCTATTGGAAATTACGCAATAATGTCCAGGGTGGGAGAAAGAACTCTTGTCTGTTGGAGGCAAGTGTGAATGTTGCAGTTGGCCAGCTTGTTTAGCATTGAATGGCCTTCCAGCTTCAAAGCCTGGCTGCTTCCTGCCACGGTTGTGAGGTCTGTTGGAAACTAGGGAAACGGACTGTATATATACCTGGGGAGTAATGTCCAGGGTGGGAGATAAAACTCTTGTCGGAGGCAAGTGTGAATTTTGCTACGGGCCACCTTGATTAGCGTTGAATAGCCTTGCAGGTGCAAAGCCTGGCTGCAAAGGCAAGGACTGCAAGGCTATTCAATGCTAATCAAGCTGGCCAATGGCAACATTCACACTTGCCTCAGTTAGAATACTGGAAAAGGACTCTCAAGTAAATGCTGCCCTCTGCTGGCCAAAGACAAATATTTAGTTATATTTATATTTAATGCATAAGTGACAACAATTGACTTCTGGTCAAATATTGGATTTATATATCTGTGGAATAATGTCCAGGCTGGGAGGAAAAAAAAACTCTTGTCTGTTGGAGGCAAATGTAAATTTTGCAATTGGCCAGCTTCATTAGCATTGAATGGCCTTGCAGCTTCAAAGCCTGGCTGGTTGCTGCCTGGGGGAATCCTTTGTTGGAATGTCCAGGATGGGGTTTTGACGGCATGTTCTCACTGTTACCTTTTCCTTCCTTGTTCTCTCCCTTTTCCTCAGATCCTTTTCGACCAAGCGCAGAGGTCTGTCCGGCAGCAGCTCCACAATTTTGTGAAAGAGTGAGTATTTCTGGCGTTGGTGTCAGAATGTGGTTACAACATCTCTCTATTTAAATGTCAAGGCCTGTATGTCAGAAATATTAAAAATTAACTGGGAATTTTTGATTACCAAAGTGTGAGTCAAGCACTGAAAGAGTGAGTAAGCCGAAGCCTGTTAGAGTCAGTGGACCAAAGCTAGTGTCGTCCTAAGGAGTGTGAGGTAAACCTCAGTGTGAGAGAAGCCTCGTGTGAGAAAGCTCCAGTGTGAAGGCTGCTGCGTGCAAAGCTACTTTATTTGTGTTACGGAAACCTAGTTCTTGTAAATAGTGCAACCATATTATTTTACAGTGTGAAGTAGGTCTCAGTATTATTAGGCCTCAGTGGGAGAAAGGCTCCAGTGTTAGTTCACCTCAGTGTGAGAGAAGCGTCAGTCTGAGAGAGCCCTCAGTGTGAGAAGGCAAAAGATATTGTTGACTTGAGGAGAGTGAGTAGGCCGAAGCCTGTTAGTCAGTGGGCCAGAGCTAGTGTTGTCCTGAGGAGAGTGAGTAGGCTAAACCTGTTGGAGTCAGTGGGCCAAAGCTAGTGTCGCCCTGAGGAGTGTGAGATAAACCTCAGTGTGAGAGAAGCCTCGTGTGAGAAAGCTCCAGTGTGAAGGCTGCTGCATGTAAAGCTACTATGCATTTGTTTATTTGTGTTCTGGAAACCTAGTTTTTGTAAATAGTTCAACCATATTATTTTACAGTGTGAAGTAGGTCTCAGTATTAGTAGGCCTCAGTGGGAGAAAGGCTTCAATGTTAGTTCACCTCAGTGTGAGAGAAGCGTCAGTCTGAGAGAGCCCTCAGTGTGAGAAGGGAAAAGTTATTGTTGACTTGAGGAGAGAGAGTAGGCCAAAGCCCATTACAGTCAGTGGGCCAAAGTTAGTGTCGTCCTGAGGAGAGTGAGTAGGCTGAAGCCTGTTAGAGTCAGTGGGTCAAAGTTAGTGTTGTCTTGATGAGAGTGAGTAGGCCGAAGCCTGTTAGAATCAGTGGGCCAAAGCTAGTGATGTCCTGAGGAGAGTGAGGTAAACCTCAGTGTGAGAGAAGCCTCGTGTGAGAAAGCTCCAGTGTGAAGGCTGCTGCGTGCAAAGCTACTATGTATTTGTTTATTTGTGTTACAGAAACCTAGTCCTTGTAAGTGCAACCATGTGTGAAGCAGGTCTCAGTATTAGTAGGCCTCAGTGGGAGAAAGGCTCCAGTGTTAGTTCGGCTCAGTGTGAGAGAGACGTCAGTCTGAGAGAGCCCTCAGTGTGAGAAGGCAAAAGTTATTATTGACTTGAGAGTGAGTAGGCGAAAGCCTATTAGAGTCAGTGAGCCAAAGCTAGTATCGTCCTGATGAGAGTGTGTAGGCCGAAGCCTGTTAGAGTCAGTGGGTGAAAGCTAGTGTCGTCCTGATGAAAGTGAGTAGGCCTAAGCCTGTTAGAGTCAGTGGGTCAAAGCTAATGTCCTAGGGAGAGTGAGTAGGCCGAAGCCTGTTGGAGTCAGTGGGGCAAAGCTAGTGTCGTCCTAAGGAGAGGGAGTAGGTCGAAGCCTGTTAGTGGAGGAGAGTGAGGTAAACCTCAGTGTGAGAGAAGCCTCGTGTGAGAAAGCTCCAGTGTGAAGGCTGCTGCGTGCAAAGCTACTATGTATTTGTTTATTTGTGTTACGGAAACCTAGTTCTTATAAATAGTGCAGCCGTGTTATTTTACAGTGTGAAGTAGGTCTCAGTATTAGTAGGCCTCAGTGGGAGAAAGGCTTCAGTAGGCCAGAGCTAGTATCTAGAGGAGATTGAGTAGGCCAAAGCCTGTTAGAGTCAGTGGGTCAAAGCTAGTGTCATCCTGAGGAGAGTGAGTAGGCTGAAGCCTGTTAGAGTCAGTGGGGCAAAGCTAGTGTTTTCCTGAGGAGAGTGAGGTAAACCTCTGTGTGAGAGAAGCCTCGTGTGAGAAAGCGCCAGTGTGAAGGCTGCTGCGTGCAAAGCTACTATGTATTTGTTTATTTGTGTTACGGAAACCTAGTTCTTGTAAATAGTGCAACCATGTTATTTTACAGTGTGAAGTAGGTCTCAGTATTAGTAGGCCTCAGTGGGAGAAAGGCTTCAGAGGGCGAGAGCTAGTATCTAGAGGAGATTGAGTAGGCCAAAGCCTGTTAGAGTCAGCGAGCCAAAGCTAGTGTTGTCCTTATGAGAGTGAGTAGGTCAAAGCCTGTTAGAGTCAGTGGGCCAAAGCTAGTGTTGTCCGGATGGGAGTGAGGTAAACCCCTGTGTGAGAGAAGCCTCGTTTGAGAAAGCTCCAGTGTGAAGGCTGCTGCATGGAAAGCATAAAATATTATGTTTTTTTATGCATTGGAACTGTATTCTCAATTTGCTTCTCGTGGTTGGGTAGAGCCTTGATGAAATCACAAGTAGCTTGAAATCTTCCTCGTCCGCAGGGTTGTAGAAGGGTGAAAGTGCAACCGGGAGACCATCCACGATGCCTTGAGCTCTTTTGAGGAAAAGAGACATCAAGAGATAACTCATCAGAATGCCACGGAAGTGGGAACAAAAATGATTTCCAGACAGATATAATCCCCCCTGAGCTGCATTTGTAATTTTCTGTCTGCGGAAGGAGGCGGGAGTCTTGGTTGCCTTTGCTACAATCGAGATGATAAATGAGATTGGGTTTGTCCTAGAAAGTTACGAGAGCATCTGGACCTTTTTGCGAATCCCTCTTGGGCATCTGGAGGCAGGCTTCCCCTTAGGCATGTGAACTTGCCACGAAGACTAGAAACTTACAAAAAATAAATGCCTATTTATATATTTATCATGTCAGAAGCGAATTGAGAATACAGTTATAATGTATCGAGTCATTATACATAATGTATTCCTGAGAAGATTAAAAAACTTGCTTGAGTCAAACTTCTCCTTAGCAATTAGGTTTCTCAGCCGTTAGACTGATATACCTAGATATCTCTTTGACCTCCGGAAGAAAAATATGCCACTGCACAAAAAACCAGCAATTTCAGAAGTGGTATTTCAATTGCCCAAAAACAAGCAGTCTGAAGGGAGGGGCCGCAGACCATGTGATCAGATCTGGGACTGTTCAGAACTCAGACTCCATTCTAGTAGCCAGTAGAAACAGAATGTTTTAGAGATGCCAGTAGACTTTCAGATAGAGACCCTATTAGACTCTCAGAACAGAAAGTCTGAGTTCTGAACAGTCCCAGATCTGATCACCTGGTCTGCGGCCCCTCCCACAACATAGAGTTAAGGCAAACTGCATGCCAATACACACATATACAATACAGAAAGTAATTTGAAGGGAGGAGACACAGACCATGTGATCAGATCTGGGACTGTTTAGAACTCAGACTCCATTCTAGTAGTCAGTAGAAACAAAATGTTTTAGAGATGCCATGAGACTTTCAGATAGAGACCTTATTAGACTCTCAGAACAGAGAGTCTGAGTTCTGAATAGTCCCAGATCTGATCACATGGTTTGCAGCCCCTCCCACAACATAGAGTTAAGGAAAACTGCATGCCGACACACACAAATACAATACAGAAAGCAATCTGAAGGAAGGTGCTGCAGACCATGTGATTAGATCTGGAACTGTTCAGAACTCAGACTCCATTCTAGTAGTTAGTAGAAACAGAATGTTTTAGAGATGCCATTAGACTTTCAGATAGAGACCCTATTAGTCTCTCAGAACAGAGAGTCTGAGTTCTGAATAGTCCCAGATTTGATCCCATGGTCTGAGTTCTGAACAGTCCCAGATCTGATCACATGGTCTGTGGCCCCTCCACAACATAGAGCTAAGGAAAACTGCATGCCCACACACACACATACAATACAGAAAGCAGTCTGAAGGGAGGGGCCACAGACCATGTGATCAGATCTAGGACTGTTCAGAACTCAGACTCCATTCTAGTAGTCAGTAGAAACAGAATGTTTTAGGGATGCCATTCAACTTTCAGATAGAGACCCTATTAGACTCTCAGAACAGAGAGTCTGAGTTCTGAATAGTCCCAGATCTGATCACATGGTTTGCAGCCCCTCCCACAACATAGATTTAAGGAAAACTGCATGCCAATACACACAAATACAATACAGAAAACAATCTGAAGGAAGGGGCTGCAGACCATGTGATCAGATCTGGGACTGTTTAGAACTCAGACTCCATTCTAGTCGTCAGTAGAAACAGAATGTTTTAGAGATGCCATTAGACTTTCAGATAGAGACCCTGTTAGACTCTCAGAACAGAGAGTCTGAGTTCTGAACAGTCCCAGATCTGATCACCTGGTCTGCGGTCCCTCCCACAACATAGAGTTAAGGAAAACTGCATGCCAATACACACACATACAATACAGAAAGCAATCTGAAGGGAGGGTCCGCAGACCATGTGATCAGATCTGGGACTGTTCAGAACTCAGACTCCATTCTAGTAGTCAGTCGAAACAGAATGTTTTAGGGATGCCATGAGACTTTCAGATAGAGACCCTATTAGACTCTCAGAACAGAGAGTCTGAGTTCTGAACAGTTCCAGATCTGATCACATGGTCTGCAGCCCCTCCCACAACATAGAGTTAAGGAGAACCGCATGCCAATGCAATACACATACAATACAGAAAGTAATTTGAAGGGAGGGAACACAGACCATGTGATCAGATCTGGACCATTCCACTCTTCCCTTGCAGTGACGTCCGGAAGTTCAAGGAGACCAAGAAGCAGTTTGACAAGGTGCGGGAGGACATGGAGATCGCCTTGGTCAAGAATGCCCAGGCACCGCGGCACAAGCCCCACGAGGTGGAAGAGGCCACGGGGACCCTGACCATCACCAGGAAGTGCTTCCGGCACTTGGCCCTCGACTACGTCTTGCAGGTGAGGTCTCGACAAGTCCTCTCCGGGGGTTGAATGAAGGCAACTGTTATGAATCGTAATGTAAATATCTGATACGCAGGATGTATTTTCATTCACTGGACTCAATTTGCACCAATACTCAATATGCCCAAATGTCAACATTGGTGGAGTTTGGGGAAAATAGACCTTGACATGTGGGAGTTGTAGTTGCTGGGATATATAGTTCACCTACAATCAAAGAGCATTCTGAACGCTACCAACGATAGAATTGGGTCAAACTTCTCACACAGAAGGGAATTGCTGGTGCGAATCTCCCTCCAGCCTCGCACGCTCTCCCTCGTCCTCGCATGGATTCTATTCTGCCATGCGCTGAGCCCGCCTGCTCTCCCCTCCCCGCTTGGAGTCTCAAAAACAGCCCTCCCCTTGGCTGAGAGGCCAGCTGAGAGGATGGCCAATCACAGCGGAGGAGGGATTTTGGTCGGAGGATTCCCATCCAGCCTCGTATGCTCTCCCTCGACCGCATATGTTCACCAGCATGCACTAAGCATGCCTGCTCTCCCCTCCCTGCTTGAAGTATCAGAAACAGCCCTCCCCTTGGCTGAGAGGCTAGCTGAGAGGCTGGCCAATTACAGCAGAGGAGGGATTTTGCTGGGAAGATTCCCATCCTGTCTCACACGCTCTCCCTCGCCTGCACATGTGCACCAGCATGCACTAAGCACACCTGCTCTCCCCTCCCTGCTTGGAGTCTCAGAAACAGCCCTCCCCTTGGCTGAGAGGCCAGCTGAGAGGCCGGCCAATCACAGCGGAGGAGGGATTTTGGTCAGAGGATTCCCATCCAGCCTCGTATGCTCTCCCTCGCCTGCACATGTGCACCAGCATGCACTAAGCACACCTGCTCTCCCCTCCCCGCTTGGAGTCTCAGAAACAGCCCTCCCCTTGGCTGAGAGGCCAGCTGAGAGGCTGGCCAATCACAGCGGAGGAGGGATTTTGGTCAGAGGATTCCCTTCCAGCCTCGTATGCTCTCCCTCGCCCGCATATGTGCACCAGCATGCACTAAGCATGCCTGCTCTCCCCTCCCTGCTTGAAGTATCAGAAACAGCCCTCCTCTTGGCTGAGAGGCTAGCTGAGAGGCTAGCCAATTACAGCACAGGAGAGATTTTGCTGGGAGGATTCCCATCCAGCCTCACACACTGTCCCTCGCCTGCACATGCGCACCACGCTGCCATGCACCAAGCATGCCTGCTCTCCCCTCCCTGCTTGGAGTCTCAAAAACAGCCTTCGCTTTGGCTGAGAGGCCAACTGAGAGGCCAGCCAGTCACAGCAGAGGAGGGATTTTGGTCGGAGGATTCTCATCCAGCCTCGCATGCTCTCCCTCGCCTGCACATGTGCACCAGCATGCACTAAGCACACCTGCTCTCCCCTCCCTGCTTGGAGTCTCAAAAACAGCTCTCCCCTTGGCTGAGAGGCTAGCTGAGAGGCTGGCCAATCACAGCAGAGGAGGGGTTTTACTGGTAGGATTCCCATCCAGCCTCGCATGCTCTCCCTCGCTTACTTTGCGCACCATGCTACCATGCACCAAGCACGCCTGCTCTTCCCTCCCTGCTTGGAGTCTCAGAAATGGCCCTCCCCTTGGATGAGAGGCTGACCAATCGCAGCAGAGGAGGGCTTTTGGTGGGAGGGTTCACCATCTGTTTCCAAAAAGGAAGAGAAGGACAGGCTGAGAGATCTTCAGCTTTTCCTGCCAAAGGGCCATCACAAATATATGTTTCCTGGAAAACACGGAAAAATGCCTTCAAACTGCAGGAGAGGAGATTCCATCTGAACATGAGGAAGAACTTCCTGACTGTGAGAGCTGTTCAGCAGTGGAACTCTCTGCCCCGGAGTGTCGTGGAGGCTTTTAAACAGAGGCTGGATGGCCATCTGTCAGGGGTGCTTTGAATGCAATATTCCTGTTTCTTGGCAGAATGGGGTTGGACTGGATGGCCCATGTGATTCTATGATTCTGTGACCCCTCTGAAACGCCTTGCGACCCCCCGAGTGGCTGCGACCCCCAGGTTGAGAAACACTGATCTAGTAGTGTTAAGATTCCTTGAGCTCAGTTTGAAGAAAGGTCTCCCACATTGGTTTTGCATGGAATCCTAGAGCTGGAATAGACCCCAAGGGTCATCCAATACAACCCTCTTCTGCCACAAATGCACAATCAAAGCCCTCCTGACAGATGGGCATCCAACTTCTGCTTTAAAAACTCCAGAGAAGGATATTCTCTGCTGTTCTTCCTCGTGTTTCCTGCCATTTGAATCCAAGCTGCCCTGAATGTTTGATTCATCCGACCCTTTCCTCCTCCGGAAGCCATTCCCAGGCGGGTTCGTTCTCCTTTCGCAATCCCCAGCCTGCTCTGACCTCCCTCGTCGCGGCTCTGCTGCTCTGCAAAGCCAATGCCAAGCTAATATTGATCCCGGCTGTTCCATTAGCCCCTTTGCTCTCCACCCTTTGAAAGTGGGACCATCTGCCGAGGCCGTCTGTCTCATCCCGGGATTGCTTACACTGTCATGTCCTGTCAATCACTGCAAATGAGCGGGCAATCGGGTGGGGAGCAAAAAGGGAGACGGCGCATAGGTCACCACAGTTGCCGCCTTTCCTTCCTTGGGGGCGAGCCGAGGAACATTTGTGGAAGGCAGGATTATTTTAGTCCTTGGAAAAGCCAAGAGGGGTGAGGAGGTGTTTGCACTTGTACCCTCCCGCAGTCCAAGAAACATTGCATTTATCCAAAAGACATTGCCCAGAAGTGATACCTTTTTGAAAGACGCGTGCAAGAATGAATGTTAAAATACCGTATATACTCAAGTATAAGCCAAGTTTTTCAACCCTCTTTTTAGGCTGCAAAAGCTCCCCTGGGTTTATACTCGAGTCAAAGTTATTTATTATTATTATTATTATTATTATTACATTATTTTACTCTATTTATTATTACATTTATTTTACTTTATTTGTTTTTATTTTTAATTGCATTTATTATTTTACTATATTATTATTATTACACTTATTATTTTACTCTATTTATTATTATAGTTATTCTTTTCTCTATTTATTACTATATTTATTATTTTACTCTATTTATTATTATAGCTATTCTTTTCCCTATTTATTATTATTATATTTATTATTTTACTCTATTTATTATTATAGCTATTTTCCCTATTTATTATTATTATATTTATTATTTTACTCTATTTATTATTATTATAGTATTTTCTCTATTTATTATTATATTTATTATTTTACTCTATTTATTATTATATTTATTATTTTACTCTATTTATTATTATATTTATTATTTTACTCTATTTATTATTATAGCTATTCTTTTTCCTGTTTATTATTATTATATATATTATTTTACTCTATTTATTATAATTATAATTATTCTTTTCTCTATTTATTATTATATTTATTATTTTACTCTATTTATTATTATTATAGTTATTCTTTTCTCTATTTATTGTTATTATATTTACTATTTTACTCTATTTAGTATTATAGTTATTCTTTTCTCTATTTATTGTTATTATTATATTTGCATTGTTTTACACTTCCTCATTGACGTTAGGTACAATCATTGGCTGAATTACAACAGAATCCTCCATTTTCAATATTTTTCTGTTTCTTTAATATTTTACTCTACTGATTGTTATTACATTTATTATTTTACTCTATTGATTATTGTTACTATTGCATTTACATTATTTTACTCCTTTTATTATTATTTTATTACATTTATTATTTTCTCTATTTATTTTTATTATTGTGTTTACATTATTTTACTCTATTATTATGTTATTACATTTATTATTTTTCTCTATTTATTGTTACTATTACATTTACATTATTTTACTCTATTTATTATTCTTTTATTACATTTATTATTTTCTCTATTTATTGTTATTATTACATTTACATTATTTTACTCTATTATTATTTTAGTACATTTATTATTTTTCTCTATTGTTATTATTACATGATTTTCCACTTCCATATCCTCATTGACATTAGGTGCAATCATTGGCTGAATTACAACAGAAACCTCAATTTTCAATATTTTTCTGTTTCTTTCTTTATTTTTTTAGATCAACGTCCTCCAAGCCAAGAAGAAATTTGAAATTCTGGATGCAGTAAGAATGCTATTTGTTAGCTATTTTTAGTTTGTACTAGCTGTACCTGCCACGCGTTGCTCCTTCCTTCCCTCTTTCACTTTTTTATTTCATTCTCTCCCTCCTTTTCTTCTTCCTTCCCTACCCTTATTTCTTTCCTTCTTTCTCTCCTTCCCTCCTTCTTTCCCTTCTTCTTTCCCTCTTTCTCTCCCTTCTTCTCTCCTTCCTTCCTCCCTTCATTACCTTTCTTTCATTCCTTCTCTCCTTCTTTCCCTCTTTCTCCCCCTTTCTCTCCTTCCTTCCTTCCTTCCTTCCTTCCTTCCTTCCTTCCTTCCTTCCTTCCTTCTTTCCTTCCTTCCCTACCTTTCTTTCTTTCTTTCTTTCTTTCTTTCTTTCTTTCTTTCTTTCTTTCTTTCCTTCTCCCCTTCATTCCCTCTTCCTCCCCTTTCTCTCCTTCCTTCCTACTCTACCCTCTTTCTTTCCTTCTTTCCCTCCTTCCCTCCTTCTTTCCCTCCTTCTTTCCCTCTTTCTCTCCCTTCTTCTCTCCTTCCTTCCTTCCTTCCTTCCTTCCTCTACCTTTCTTTCTTTCCTTCCTCCTTCTTTCCCTCTTTCTCTCCCTTTCTCCTTCCTTCCTTTCTACCTTCTTTCTTTCCTTCTTTCTCTCTCTCCTTCCCTCCTTCTTCCCTTCTTCTCCTCCTTCTTCCTTCCTTCCTTCCTTCCCTACCTTTCTTTCTTTCCTTCTCTCCTTTCCCTCTTCCTCCCCCTTTCTCTCCTTCCTTCCTACTCTACCCTTCTTTCTTTCCTTCTTTCTCTCCTTCCCTCCTTCTTTCCCTCTTTCTCTCCCTTCTTCTCTCCTTCCTTCCTTCCTTCCTTCCCTACCTTTCTTTCTTTCCTTCTCTCCTTTCCCTCTTCCTCCCCCTTTCTCTCCTTCCTTCCTACTCTACCCTTCTTTCTTTCCTTCTTTCTCTCCTTCCCTCCTTCTTTCCCTCTTTCTCTCCCTTCTTCTCTCCTTCCTTCCTTCCTTCCTTCCTACCTTTCTTTCTTTCCTTCTCTCCTTTCCCTCTTCCTCCCCCTTTCTCTCCTTCCTTCCTACTCTACCCTTCTTTCTTTCCTTCTTTCTCTCCTTCCCTCCTTCTTTCTCTCCTTCTTTCCCTCTTTCTCTCCCTTCTTCTCTCCTTCCTTCCTACCTTTCTTTCTTTCCTTCTCTCCTTCTTTCCCTCTTTCTCTCCCTTTCTCTCCTTCCTTCCTTTTCTACCCTTCTTTCTTTCCTTCTTTCTCTCCTTCCCTCCTTCTTTCCCTTCTTCTCTCCTTCCTTCCTTCCTTCCTTCCTTCCTTCCTTCCTTCCTTCTTCCCTCTTTCTTTCTTTCCTTCTCTCCTTTCCTCTTTCCTCCCTTCCTCTCCTTCCTTTCCTTCTCCCTTCTTTCTTTCCTTCTTTTCTCTCCTTCCCTCCTTCTTTCCCTCTTTCTCTCCCTTCTTCTCTCCTTCCTTCCTTCCTTCCTTTCCCTACCTTTCTTTCTTTCCTTCTCTCCTTTCCCTCTTCCTCCCCCTTTCTCTCCTTCCTTCCTACTCTACCCTTCTTTCTTTCCTTCTTTCTCTCCTTCCCTCCTTCTTTCTCTCCTTCTTTCCCTCTTTCTCTCCCTTCTTCTCTCCTTCCTTCCGTACCTTTCTTTCTTTCCTTCTCTCCTTCTTTCCCTCTTTCTCTCCCTTTCTCTCCTTCCTTCCTTCTCTACCCTTCTTTTTTTCCTTCTTTACCTCCTTCCCTCCTTCTTTCCCTTCTCCTCTCCCTCCTTCCTTCTCTACTTTCCTTTGCTTCTTTCTCTCCTTCCCTCTTTCTTTCCCTCCTTCTCTCCTTCCTTCCTTCTCTACCTATTTTTCTTTCCTTCCTTCTCTCCTTCCCTCTTTCTCTCCCTCCTTCTCTACCTTTCTTTCTTTCCTTCTTTCTCTCCTTCCCTCCTTCTTTCCCTTTTTCTTTCCCTCTTTCTCTCCCTCCTTCTCGCCTTCCTTCTCTACCCTTCTTTGTTTCCTTCCTTCTCTCCTTCCCTCCTTCTTTCCCTTCTCCTCTCCCTCCTTCCTTCTCTACCTTTCTTTGCTTCTTTCTCTCCTTCCCGCTTTCTTTCCCTCCTTCTCTCCTTCCTTCCTCCTGTGGTTTTGTGCATGCGTTGTAATGGTTTTGGGTTTTTTTTGCTTTTTAAGTCCCTTCTGCTGTGTTTTTCAGTGTTTTTATAAGTGGTGGTTACTCGTTGGCCTGAGAGGTGTCTTGTGTCCAAATTTGGTGTCAATTTTTTGTTGCGTATTCAGGCTTTCCCTCCTTGCCTTGCAGATGCTGTCCTTTATGCACGCCCAATATACCTTTTTCCAGCAAGGCTACAGCCTCCTACATGAACTGGACCCTTATATGAAGAAGTTGGCTTCAGAGGTGAGATGTTATTGTGTTCCGGACACTATGCGGAGCAACCAGCGAGGAAAACCAAAAGGATAGATGTGAAAATATGATTGGGTGAATCTGATTCTTGCGTTCAAGTGTTTACAATTGTTGCACTCCAGGTGAGGAAGAAGCCCTCTGACTTTAAAACTCACCACATGAAGAGGAAAGAAACAAATCTTCTTTTATTGAAACTTAGTAAATATCCAGAAGAAATAAATGCTTGTAAGAAAATAAGAAAGTTCCAAGAAGTAATAAGTAATAAGCCTGACCCTCTGACTTTAAAACACACCACACGAAGAGTAAAGAAACACATCTTCTTTTATTGAAGCTTAGTAAATACCCAGAAGAAATAAATGCTTGTAAGAAAATAAGAAAGTTCCAAAAAGTAATAAGTCCATAAAAGGTAGTAACTCAAAGCAATGTCCACACCAGATATAAAAGCAATCTCAAATAGCATTTATCCAGGCAGGAATCAACACGATGCAAAGACAATCCAAAAGGCTAAAAAACTCCATAGGAACAAGACCCCTTGAACAGGATTTCCATGGCACATGAACTTGATTTCCAAACGTTGCCTGATCTAACAGGTTTCCCTTTGAGGCAAACCTTATATCCCAAAACTCAGGAATTGGTTTCGCTTTCCCCCACATTTACCGTATATTCCGGGATAGTAGACGGCTTTTTAGGCATGTAAAACCTTATAAAATTTTGGGGGTATTCTAGTACGCCGGGTATAAAATTAAAATAATAATAAAATTAATTAATCTGGCTGCCTTGGCCTCGGGCTCTTCTACTCCTCCTCCGCCTTGGCTCATGGCGGCCTCCTGGACAGGCTCCCCATCCTTCCTCCCTTCCTGGCTGCCTTCCTTGCACAGGCCAAGGCCTCTCCTTTGTTGGCAGCTGGGCACCTGGGCTGCTTCCCGCGCTGCTCAGGCCACACTCCTTCTCCCTGTCCATGCCTCGCGAGAAGTGCCTCTTCTCCCACGAGACGTTGTCTCGTGGGAGAAGAGGCACTTCTCGCGAGGCATGGACAGGAAGAAGGAGAGCGGCCTGAGGAGCACCGGAGGCCCTTCTGATCAGGCCGCTCTCCTCCTTCCTGTCCAGGCCTCGTGTGAAGTGCGTCTTCTCCTGTGAGACAACGTTGTCTCGCAGGAGAAGAGGCACTTCTTGTGAGGCATGGACAGGAAGAAAGAGAGCGGCGTGAGGAGCGTCAGAGGCCCTTCTGACAGGCTGCTGTCCTTCTTCCTGTCCACGTCTTGCAAGAAGTGCCTCTTCTCCTACTAGACAACGTTGTCTTGCAGGAGAAGAAGCACTTCGCGCGAGGCCTGGACAGGAAGAAGGAGAGCCGCCTGAGAAGCGCCTGGTTTGGGGAGTCGTCTTAAACGGCGAGTATATCCCCAACTCTCTATTTTGTTTGCTAAAATTGCCATTTTGTACCCCAGAATATACAGTACCTCTTATCAGACAAAGCCTGTCAGAGCAATGTAAACACTAAGTTTGCTGTCGATCCTGGCTGATCTCCAGCCGCCTACTCTTCAGCTCCCTATCTGGCTGCTCATTAAAATTCCCAGGTGTCAGATTGTTTTCCAAACCCAAATTTTGAGAGCTCACAGAGAGAGGGAGCGAACTATCATTGCTAGGCCCAGCAGGGATATTCTCATGAGAAACTGCCCTTTGCACTGGGGCCTCTCTGTCATTGTCTGCCTGAAAATCATTGACCAAACCATCTCCATCTTGTACCTCAGTCTCGGCACCATCATTTCCCTCATCATTTCCCACATCGGAATCCTGAAACACAAACAACAATGTTCCCTTGCCTGGAGAAATTAGGAAAGCCCCTTCCCTAGAAATCTTCAAAAAGAACCTTAAAACCTGGCTCTGTCGCTGCGCCTTTGATGAGTTTATATACTCTGGACCTTCCGCAAATAGTTAAACCCCACTTGCCTAGTTTCCAACAGACCTTGCAACCTCTGAGGATGCCTGCCATAGATGTGGGTGAAATGTCAGGAGAGAATGCTTCTGGAACATGGCCACACAGCCCGGAAAACTCACAGCAACCCAATATTAAGACCCAGGAGGAGGAAGACTTTGTATTTACTGTATCCTATTTATTCTCTTTCTTGCATTCAGCTCGACCAGTTGGTGATTGATTCTGCAGTGGAGAAGCGGGAAATGGAGCACAAGCATGCGCTGATCCAGCAGCGGGTGAGTCTCTCCCAAACGGGGAAATACATACCTGGTGAAGGCATGTTTCCAAAAGTTAGCGCAGGATGCATTTTCTAACAATATATATCAGAAATGCTCGTTGTGAACATTATTTTAAGGATGCCCTGCTAAAAGGGTCGGCTTTAGCACAGCAGGTTAATCACCTGCTACAGTAAATCTTGCCAGCCGAAGGGTTGATAAATCGAAGCCAGGTCAGGGTGAGCTCCCGATACTCAGTCCAGCTCCCTGCCCACCTAGCAAATTGGAAACCAATGTGAGTAGATGAATAGGAAATGCATTAAGTGAGGAGGTATTGGTGTTTGAAGGAAAGGCAGGTGGGCAATTTGAATCTGTGAGATGGAGTGAGTTCCCATCTGTCAGCCCCAGCTTCTCATTCAGAGACATGAGAGAAGCCTCCCACAGGATGGTAACACATCTGGGCATCCCCTGGGCAACGTCCCTGTAGAGGGCCAATTCCCTTACACCAGAAGGACTGCTGACTGAAAGGTCGGCAGTTTGAATCCGGGGAGTGGGGTGAGCACCTGTCTGTCAATGCCAGCTTCCCATGCAGGGTCGTGAGAGAAGCCTCCCAAAGGATGGTAAAACATCTGGGCATCCCCTAGGCAATGTGCTTGCAGACGGCCAATTCTCGTACACCAGATTGCTGACTGAAAAGGTCAGCAGTTCAAATCCAGAGAGTGGGGTGAGCTCCCATCTGTCAGCCCCAGCTTCCCATGTGAGAACATGGGAGAAGCCTCCCACAGGTGGTAACACATCCAAGCATCCCTTGGGCAACATCCTTGCAGACAGCCAATTCTCTTACACCAGAAGGACTGCTGACCGAAAGGTCGGCGGTTCAAATCCTGGGAGTGGAGTGAGCTCCTATCTGTCAGCCTCAGCTTTATATGTGGGGACATGAGAGAAGCCTCCCACAGGATGGTAACACATCTAGGCGTCCCCTGGGCAACGTCCTTACAGACAGCCTATTCTCTCACACCAGAAGTGATTTGCAGTACAATTCGCTTCTGCCACGTTTTTTTAAAGCCTTTCTGTCTATATAGAGACCTCTTGTGGCTGCATTGAGTACTTCAGGGTGAGGCTCATAAGTCACCAAGGTAGATCATTTTAAAGATAAGGCAACAAACAAAAAAGGTGGACTTTTAGTTTAAACCCCACCAATATTTTAATTTGGACCATGAAGGGTTTGTGTCCCACGTTTGGTCCCAATCCATCAAGCCATGAAGGAGCCTTTAAAGTACAAACATATGTACATAGTTTACTTCGACGGAAATCTTAGTTTCCAACACCGATAATACTATTTCTTTTTCTTTCCTACTCTTTTTCCTGACTTCACCAATTTCTGGCCTGTCCACCCAGACTTTACTGCAGGTGAGCATTTTCTATTTCTTGCATGCTAATGAAGTGTATTCCAGATCATCAAAACCCCCTTTCGGTCCTGGATTGGCCCCTTTGGTTGTTTACATTGGCAACGGGTTTCGGTCGGGCTTATCTAGAGGATGCAGATGGCTTGTGATGGGGTTAATCTCCTCTGGTGAGGAATGGGAAAAAAAATAAAATTCCCAGTGGCATTGAGCTAATCCCTGGAATTATCCATTTTGCACCTTCTGAAGCTTCCTTAAGAAGGCACGAGGTTTGCACGTTTCCCCACCAAAGTTTCCACTTTCCCTAGGCTGATGCTTCACAGCACTGAGTTTTCTTCCTTTCCTTAAATGGGGTTCCTTTCCCTTTCTTTTCTCAAGGTAATTATTATACCAGTGTTCTCAACCTGGGGTTCGCGACCACTTGGGGGGTCATGAGAGGGTTTGTGATGGTCTTAGGAACCCCGTTGGCAGAGAAGGCTGAAGATCTCTCCACCTGTCCTTCTCTTCCTTTTGGAAACAGGAGGCAAATAGTCCCACCAAAAACCCTTCTCCACTGTGATTGGGTGGCCTCTCAGCCAACGGGAGGGCTGTTTCTAAGACTCCAAGCGGGGAGGGGAGAGCAGGCGTGCTCAACCCGGGGCAGCATGGTGCACATGTACGGGCAAAATATCCTGCACATCAGTTATTTACATTACGATTCATAACAGTGCAAAATTAGAGTTATCAAGGAGCAACGAAAATAATATTATGGTTGGGGGTCACCATAACGTGAGGAACTGTATTAAGGGGTCACGACATTAGGAAGGTTGAGAAACACTATTATACATATCCACCCAAATGTGGTCATTCTCGGCTCCCTTTGTTGCTGTCGCTTTGGATTTGTAGGCCTATCACATCTCAGGGGTCACCATTCTCTTGAGTTGATTTACGCCCCATAGGAAAACAAGCTTGGCTTAAACAGAAGCCAAAACAACCCCAAACCCCCCCACCCCACAAAACCCTTTATGTGGTTTAACTTGTTAAGAGTCTTCTTAGCTGGAAGATAGACTAAAGAATACACGAAGTAGGATATGATCCTGCATATCATATCCTACTGTCTAGATCTAAGGAAGTAATGCTACCCCTCTATTCTGCTTTGGTTAGACCACATCTGGAATATTGTGTCCAATTCTGGGCACCACAATTCAAGAGAGATATTGACAAGCTGGAATGTGTCCAGAGGAGGGCGACTAAAATGATAAAAGGTCTGGAGAACAAGCCCTATGAGGAGCGGCTTAAGGAGCTGGGCATGTTTAGCCTGAAGAAGAGAAGGCTGAGAGGAGATATGATAGCCATGTATAAATATGTGAGAGGAAGCTACAGGGAGGAGGAGGGAGCAAGCTTGTTTTCTGCTTCCTTGGAGACTAGGACACGGAACAATGGCTTCAAACTACAAGAGAGGAGATTCCATCTGAACATTAGGAAGAACTTCCTGACTGTGAGAGCCGTTCAGCAGTGGAACTCTCTGCCCGGAGTGTGGTGGAGGCTCCTTCTTTGGAAGCTTTTAAACAGAGGCTGGATGGCCATCTGTCAGGGGTGATTTGAATGCAATATTCCTGCTTCTTGGCAGAATGGGGTTGGACTGAATGGCCCAGGAGGTCTCTTCCAACTCTTTGATTCTATGATTCTATGATATTATCTTGGTAGTAAGGAAAATATGATCTTGCATAGGACGTTGTTACAAAGGAGGATATGATCTTGGATATGATCTTGGAAGAATGGGGTATATCTTGGTAAAAGGTAGGATATGATATTGGATACGATCTTGGTAGAAAGTAGGTGTTCTCGCTCAGCAGTTTTAGCAGTCACAACAGTCAGGGGCTGATGGGTTCACTGGTGAGTGAGATTCAGAAGGGATTATGGGCTTTCCTGGGATTCAGAGTGATACAGGCCAAGGAAATAAAATTGCCTCAGATAGTGATGCAGGCCAAGAGAATGCAATTGTCTCTGAGCCTCAAGGTCCACCACAGGAGCCAGAAATAACATCCTTAGATAAGGAGCTGAGTGAAGACAAATTAACAGGAAAGTCTCGAGGTGATATGGACCTAAACAAGTATTTACACCTGGTGATATGGAACTAAGCAAGGATTTATGTTTGCAGATTAGGGCAGATAGTCAGCTTCGTAAATTAACAAGTCTCAGTGGGAAAGAGATAGAAAAAATCCATGGAAAACGCCATGAATTTACATCTGTTTATTAACAGTCAGTGTGCACCCTAAATTCAAGGAAATGAAATTGCTTCAGATAGTGATGCAGGCCAAGAGAATGCAATTGTCTCTGAGCATCAAGTTCAGTCACCGGAGCCAGAAACAACATCTTTAGATAAAGAGTCGAGTGAAGACAAATTAACATGAAAGTCTCAAGGTGGTACGGAACTAAGCGAGGATTAACGTTTGCAGATTAGGGTAGATAGTCAGCTCTGTAGATCAACAAGTCTCAGTGGGAAACATAGAAAAAGTCTGTGGAAAACACTATGAGATCATCATCATCATCATCATCATCATCATCATCATCATCATCTATTCAAATAAAAATGTAATGTTCGTTTGTGGGATTGATAGAACTCAAAAACCACTGGGCGAATTGACACCAAATTTGGACACAAGACACCTAAACAACCCAATATATGTCCTTCACTCATAAAAACATTGAAAAACACAGCAAAAGGGACTTTAAAAGCCCCAAAAAGCTAAACGATGAAAAGCTAAATAATAATACAGAAAAAAGGAAGAAAGAGGGAGGGAAGGGGAGAAGAAAGAAAGAAAGAAAGAAAAGAAAAGAAAAGAAAAGAAAGGGAGGGAAAGAAAGAAGGAAAGGAAACATGGAAGCAAAGAGAGAAGGAAGGAAAGAGGTAGACAAGGAAGGAAGGAGAGAAAGAGGGAGGGAAGGAAAAGGGGGAAGGAAGGAAAGTTAGAGAAGGAAGGAGAGAAGGAAAGAAAAAAGGGAAAGAAGGAAGGAAAGAGGGAGTGAAGGAAGGGGGGAAGAGAAAGAGGAGGAAAGAAAGAAATAAAAGAAAGAAAGAAAGAAAGAAAGAAAGGGGAAGGAAAGGAAAGAAAGAGAGAAGAAGGAAGAGAGAGAGGAAGGAAGGAGGAAGAAAAAGGGGGAAGGAAGGAAAGAGAAGGAGGAGAGAAGGAGAAAGAAAAAAGGGAAAGAAGGAAGGAAAGAGGAGGAAGGAGGGGAAAGATAGAGAAAGAGGAGGGAAAGAAAGAAGGAGAAGAAAGGAAAGAGAGAAGGAAGAAAGAGAGAAAGAAAGGAAGGAGAGAAAGAGGGAGAAAAAGAAAAGGGAAGAGGAAAGAGAGAAGGAAGGAAGGAGGAGAAGGAAAGAAAAGGAAAGGAAGGAAGAGGGAAAGGAAGGGGGAAGATGTAGAGAAAGAGGGAAGGAAGGAAAGGAGAAGAAAAGAGGACAGCAGAAGAGAAAGAAAAAGGAGGAAGGAAGGAAAGAGATAGAGAAGGAAGGAAGAATAGAAGGAAAGATGGGAAGGAAGGAGGGAAAGAAGGAGAGAAAGAGGGAAGGTTGGTCACAGCAACGCGTGGCGGGTACAGCTAGTAACAACAACAACTTTATTTTTATACCCCCGCCTCCATCTCCCTGAATTTATATCTGTTTATTAACAGTCAGGATGCAACCTAAATTCAGTTCAGGCAACGTTACTTTCAGGTTAGAAGCTAAGCCTGAGTTCTCTAGGTCATGTTTCAAGCCAAGCCTTGGTGTTGGATTTAAGTTTCTGAAAGTTTTCTATGTTCTTGTTTTTGTATTCCTGCTCCAGTTTTACTAAGTATATCTTTTGCTTGTGGACTTAAGCCGTATTTGTGATTTTATGGCTATGTTCTTGGAAATGTGATCTTGGATATGAGCTCGGTAGAAAGTGGGACGTGATTTCGGGGGAGATGATCGTAGTCTAGAGCACTCTTCCTTAGCTGCTGTCCAAATTCTCCAAGCGAAGGTCAAAGGTTGTAGCGCGGTGGTGGTGTGTGGCTTTGCCTCTCCATCCTGAGGCGACAGCTGTATGATAATTTGCTAAGCCGATTGACTCTCGGAGAAGCCATGGGCCCCGGGAGGGAGAAAAGAGGCGGGTACGTTGGGCAGGTGGCCCACAAAGAAGGAGCGAGGAGGAGCCAACGGAGAGGCCTTTCTTGCGGAAAGAAGGAAAACGGAGAGGGATGACGTTGGTGGCAGTGGAGGAGAAGGAGGCCGAGGCCAAGAGATCCCTTCTCCCTTCTCTGCGTAGCCTTCTCGCTCTTGGAAGCAGACCCAAAAGCGTAGCTGTCATGAAGATTTTTGGCCGCCTGGAGTATTTCCTGGTAAGGGGTTTCCTTCGTAGGGCTAAAAGAGGGTGATATTTTGTACCAACGGTGGCTTTTAAACCACCGAACATGGAGGACAGTCTTTCTCGGACAACCTAAGAGTCAGTATGTTATTTATTTGTCGTGTCAGGGGCAACCAGTCAATTGTATTACATTTCTCACAGAACAAAACAAACAAACAGACAAAATACAAAATTTGAGAGTTTGGTAGTTGATTAAATGTCCTTTGACCAGTATCTGGCCATTTGGAGTGCCTCTGGTGCTAGTATAAGAAGGTCCTCCATGGTGCATGTGGCAGGGCTCAGGTTGTATTGCAGCAGGTGGTCAGTGGTTTGCTCTTCTCCACACTCGCATGTCGTGGATTCCACTTTGTGGCCCCATTTCTTGAGGTTGGCTCTGCATCTCGTGGTGCCCGAGCGCAGTCTGTTCAGCACCTTCCAAGTCGCCCAATTTTCTGTGTGCCCAGGGGGGAGTCTCTCATTTGGTATCAGGTTCTGGGTTTGAGCCTGCCACTTTTGGACTCTCGCTTGCTGGGGTGTTCCAGCGAGTGTCTCTGTAGATCTTAGAAAACTATTTCTTGATTTAAGTCATTGACGTGCTGGCTGATACCCAAACAAGGGATGAGCTGGAGATGTCTCTGCCTTGGTCCTTTCACTATTGGCTGCTACTTCCCGGCGGATGTCAGGTGGTCCAATATTGGCTAGACAGTGTAGCTTCTTCAGTGGTGTAGGGCGCAGGCACCCCATGATAATGCGCCATGTCTCATTAAGAGCCACATCCACTGTTTTAGCGTGGTGAGATGTGTTCCACACTGGGCATGCGTACTCAGCAGCAGAGTAGCATAGTGCAAGGGCAGATGTCTTCACTGTGTCTGGTTGTGATCCCTAGGTTGTGCCAGTCAGCTTTCGTATGATATTGTTTCTAGCACCCACTTTTTGCTTGATATTCAGGCAGTGCTTCATGTAGGTAAGAGCACGGTCCAGAGTGACTCCCAGGTATTTGGATACGCTGCAATGCTCCAGTGGGATTCCTTCCCAGGTCATCCTCAGAGCTCGGGATGCTTGTCTGTTCTTGATTGAGTCAATAACTATATTGACCACTGGCGGATGGCGATGAATTTGTGATTTCACTCTGATGAACTGACTTTTTTGTAATTTAATGTATTTTAATGTATTTTATATTGATTATGTATATTTGCTTTGATCTTATTGTATTGAATCCTTTGTTGTTAGCCGGCCTGAGTCCCTCTCCGGAGGTTGAGAAGACCGGGTTATAAAAACTCTAAATAATAATAATAATAAATAAAAGCACATGTCTGTGTTTTAGATGGGTTGGGGATCAGCTGGTTTTCCCTTTAATAGGCAGTAAGAGCACCTAGAGCTTCGGAGAGCTTCTGTTCAACCATCTCAAAGCTCCCTGCTTGAGCAGTGATGGCACGATCATCAGCATAGATGAAGCTCTCTGTCCCTTCTGGCAGTGGCTGGTCATTTGTGTAGATGTTAAACATGGATGGAGCAAGCACGCTCCCCTGAGGCAGGCTGTTCTTCTGTTTCCGCCATCTGCTTCTCTGGCCCTGGAACTCAACAAAAAAGCTCCTGTTTTGTAGCAGGTTTCCAATGAGGCGGGTGAGGTGGTCGTCCTTGGTGATATTATACATTTTTCTCAGGAGGAGGCCGTGGTTTACAGTATCATAAACCACTGACAGGTCTATGACGACAGCTCCTGTGATCTGCTGCCTTTCAAAGCCATCTTCTATGTGCGGAGTCAGGTTCAGCACTTGTGATGTGCAAAGAAGGATCTTTCCACACAATGCAACATCAGGTTCCTGCCTCTAGCATCAAATTCTCCCCGTTGTCGGGGTTTTTGGTTTGGTTGTGTGTTCTCCTATCCTCATTGGCCAGTTCAAAAGCCTCTGTATTTTGGAGATCCGGCGTTATTTCCACTCCAGAGGAGCCAAGGGGAGGTTGCTCGCCTTTCTCAAAATCTGGTTCCCCCGATGCGTCGGCATGTGATGTTTCCAGGGAAACTTATTGTCCGACGTCCCTTCTTGGGGTGGAAAAAAAAGAGCGCTCAGCCTTTGCCCAAGCATCTGGGGACATAAACATTCAAATCAATAGGGTGGGGAGATGGAAGCAGAGTGCCTGGAGGGTGAAGTGGTGGGGAGGGGACGGTGGGATTTATTGAATGGACGTAAAAGCCAAGAGAACACATGAAAGAGGGGCTTGGCAAGAGGTCCTGAGCATGCATTTCAGCAGCAGATGGGGGTGTTTTTTTTTGCACTTCTCGATTTGCTTGTTCTCTAGAGTTTCCACTCATGACCCAGTACAATTTTACGCAACTCTGTCTACCAGGGGTGAATGAAAAGTAAGGGTTGAATGAAGAGTATGCGGCAGGTACTGGCTTGTTCAGTAGACTTTCCTCTACAGTTCTACAGTTGGCAAACATACATACGTTGTCATAGACAAACGGAGAGATGATAGATACAAGGGTTGAATAAAAAGTAATGCCTCCACTTTTGTAACTCCTCCTGCCGGTATGCGGCAGGTACTGGCTTGTTCAGTGGACTCTCCTCTACAGTTCCATTTTGGCAAACATACATACATTGTCATAGACAAACAGAGAGATGATAGATACGAGGGTTGAATAAAAAGTAATGCTTCCACCTTCGTAACTCCTCAACTGATTGCTGTACTGGCATGCAGCAGGTACTGGCTTGTTCAGTAGACTCTCCTCTACAGTTCCATTTTGGTAAACATACATACTTTGTCATAGACAAACAGAGAGATGATAGATACGAGGGTTGAATACCACCTTTGGTAACTCCTCAACAGATGGCTGTGCTGGTATGCAGCAGGTACTGGCTTGTTCAGTAGACTTTCCTCTACAGTTCCATTTTGGCAAACATACATACTTTGTCATAGACAAACAGAGGGATGATGGATATGAGGGTTGAATAAATAGTAATGCCTTCAGCTTTGCTAACTCCTCAACAGATGGTTGTACTGGTATGCGGCAGGTTCTGGCTTGTTCAGTAGACTCTCCTCTACAGTTCCATTTTGGCAGGAAGCCTTAGCATTGAACGGTTGTGTTGTTAAAGTGGGAAGTATGGGACCCTGCACAGACGTTCGGTCAATGCGACTTAAGCAACATGCAGTCATTGAATTCTTGACAGCAGAAGGTGTCACCTCAACATCTTTAAATTTACTCTCCCAACGACACACAGTACACAGTGTCTCCCAACGACACACAGTCACATCAACACAATCATTATAAACAGCTTGCATTGTCTCTCCTTTGGGGTGACGCAAAGAGAACCTGCCCACCATCGTCATAGCATTGTCACAGAGACATTGTGTCGTAGGCCTTCTCAGAGCTGGAGAAGGGAGAAATCAGGTGGCAAGCAGCCCCTCTTGTTGTGAAGAGATTCGCGTGAATGCCCAAACAGTCACTAGGTGGCAAGCTACACACATTTTCCGTAGGCTTGTGCATGTTGTGATTCAGCCAATGATTGTACCTAATGTCAATGAGGAAGAGGAAGTGGATGATGTGATATCTGGGCCTGCTGAACCAGCGAGCCAGCAAGAGATTTTAAGTCCTGAAACTGAGCATTCTGTGTCCCTTTGAAAGGCCACATTCCAGAGAGGGGCCCAGCTTTCTCTAGGGAAGTGAGTTCAGAAGATAAATTGCCAGGAGGAGAGGCTAATAAACCAAAGGATAGGAGGCACTATCAGGAGTCAATTTCTGATGGCATGAAGACATCGCAAATTCCCTCCATGACATCCTGACTGAATCATCCTGGCTGAATCAATTCTCTCTCTGTGACATTTTGAAGCCAGGAGAGAGCACTGGAAACCTTGTATTGGAACTTGTGAAGCAACAAGTCCTAATAATGAAACTGAGAAGAGGGAGGAGTTGGGCAGGAAAGGTGTATAAAAGGAAGTGGTGGTGGGAAAAAGTCAGTAGTGTCTTTCTTTGCTGCAGAGATACAAGCAATATATCCATTTCAAAGCAAAACCGGCTTGTGAGTGGTTATTTAATATTGCTATATAGATCCTACAGTCTGTCAGGCACAGCTTTAGTAAATTCTGGGCTGATTCTTAGACTTGGCTTGTTAGAGAAAAAGTCGTTATCTGTTTGTTAAGGAGAAACGGAATGATTTCATGACTTTATTAGAGATACGAAAACGCTTTTTCAGCAGTCTGGTCAAAATTGGATTTTCAGCAACATCTTGTGTTTGGCTCTAACCAAGCTTTTCAAGGGACTCCTAGTTTCATTTCTTCTGCTGTTCAAGTTTCAAGGATGATTCTTGAGTTCTGTGTTGTGGATTTTATGCCGACGTGTTGTATCTCGGTTTTTGATGCAACTTATGTACCTTGGATTTTATGAGCTATTGAATACTTTTGGGCTTAGATGTTTCTTACTATTTTGCTGCTCGGCTTTTTATATATTCTTCAATAAACTGCTGTGCTATTTTACCTTGGACTGGAGTGTGTGTAAAGTACAGAGGTGATTCCCAGTGCGACAGGAATCTCTTTTCCCGGAGTTTGAATCCATTGCTTTGTGTCTTAGGAGCAGCAGAAAGCAACATGACATCATTTGATGTTTTGACCTAGTGTTCATGCCCTCTCCAATCATAATATGTGTTTTGGTGCTTCTTAGGATTTCTCGTATGATGACTCCAAAGTGGAATTCAACGTCGATGCCCCCAACGGGGTGGTGATGGAAGGCTACCTCTTCAAAAGGGCAAGCAACGCTTTCAAGACCTGGAACCGGTAAGCCCTATCCTCTAAAAGACTCAAAGCAGAAGGGACTAGTGGTCAAAGGAAGCCGGAGACAACGCTTTGCCTTCCATAGGAGTCAATCTTTGGTGTTACAACTGCTGTAACTCTCATGTCAGGGCAACAAATTGCGATGGGATTTTGGAATCGCAGACCTTGATGTTAAAAGCGTTCAGCTATAACTAGAGTGATCCAACGTCAGCTATAAATATAAATGTAATGCAGTATAATATAATATAATATTTATAATATTATAATGTAATGCAATATAATACTAATAATAATATGATATTATAATTATATATTTATATTACATGTAATATTACTAATAATATTACAATATATTATTAGTAATATTACATGTAATATAAATATATAATTATAATAATTAATATATTATATTAATAATATATCGGGATTAATTATTATATAATTATTGCTAATAATATTACGATATAGTGGTATGGTGCAATATAGCAACGTTTAATGCTGATATGCTAATAATATAATATATTGTATGTAATATATACCTTGTAAGCTGCTCTGAGTCCCCTTTGGGGTGAGAAGGGCGGCATATAAATGTTGTAAATAAATAAAAATAATAAATAAAAATAATAGTCCGAAGTGACTGAACAAATAAACAACAAACATGGAATCCTGGAGGTTGTACTTTGACATTGAAAGACCTTGTGAAACTACAACTCACAGTTTGTTTTCCAAACTGCATTAATTCTATAGTTAGTCCTTTAATTGGTCTTTGAAGAACCTTATCTAGTTCTTGTTCAGCTCAAAAGGAGATACCGGTTTTCATTGTTATTCTCCTCTCTTTCTTTTGTCCTCTCCCTTTCCACCCCCTGTTCTTCTCTCCTTCTCTTTGTCTCCCCAGGAGGTGGTTCTCCATACAGAACAGCCAGTTGGTGTACCAGAAGAAGCTAAAGGTCAGGGAGACACATTAGCGCATTGTTTCCCAACCTTGGGGTCGGGACCCCTGGAGGGGGGGGGTCTTGGGGAGGTGGCAGAGGGGGTCACCAAAGACCACCAGAAACACAGTATTTTCTGTTGGTCATGGGGGTTCTGTGTGGGAAGTTTGGCTCAATTCTATCATTGGTGGGGTTCAGAATGCTCTTTGATTGTAGGTCAACTATAAATCCCAAAAACTACAAATCCCAAATCTCAAGGTCTATTTTGCCCAAACTCACATTTGGGCACATTGAGTATTTTACCAATCGAATCGTTCCAGGAGTTGTGTGTGACGTCTGTAGACAGTCCACATTTTGCAGTCATATTGCAGAGTTGGGAGGACAATGGCTTTATAAACAAGCACCTTGGTCTCCCTACGGATGTCTTCCCAGAGCTCAGGCGGTGTTGTATTTCAGGGTCAATGATGCTGCACTCGCAGAGCTCAGGCAGTGGTGTATTTCAGGGTCAATGATGCTGCACTCGCAGAGCTCAGGCAGTGGTGTATTTCAGGGTCAATGATGCTGCACTCGCAGAGCTCAGGTGGTGGTGTATTTCAGGGTTAAGGATGCTGCACTCGCAGAGCTCAGGCGGTATTGTATTTCAGGGTAAATTATGCTGCACTAGCAGAGCTCAGGCGGTGTTGTATTTCAGGTTCAATGATGCTGCACTCGCAGAGCTCAGGTGGTGTTGTATTTCAGGGTCAATGAGCTGCACTCGCAGAGCTCAGGCAGTGGTGAATTTCAGGGTCAATGATGCTGTATTCACAGAGCTCATGCAGTGTTGTATTTCAGGGTAAATTATGCTGCACTCGCAGAGCTCAGGCAGTGATGTATTTCAGGGTCAATGATGTTGCATTCGCAGAGCTCAAGTGGTGTTGTATTTCAGGGTCAATGATGCTGCACTCGCAGAGCTCAGGCGGTGTTGTATTTCAGGGTCAATGATGCTGCACTCACAGAGCTCAGGTGGTGTTGTATTTCAGGGTTAAGGATGCTGCACTCGCAGAGCTCAGGCGGTATTGTATTTCAGGGTCAATGATGTTGTACTCACAGAGCTCAGGCGGTGTTGTATTTCAGGGTTAAGGATGCTGCACTCGCAGAGCTCAGGCGGTATTGTATTTCAGGGTCAATGATGTTGTACTCACAGAGCTCAGGTGGTATTGTATTTCAGGGTCAATGATGCTGCACTTGCAGAGCTCAGGCGGTATTGTATTTCAGGGTCAATGATGCTGCACTCGCAGAGCTCAGGCGGTATTGTATTTCAGGGTAAATTATGCTGCACTCACAGAGCTCAGGCGGTATTGTATTTCAGGGTCAATGATGCTGCACTCGCAGAGCTCAGGTGGTATTGTATTTCAGGGTAAATTATGCTGCACTCACAGAGCTCAGGCGGTATTGTATTTCAGGGTCAATGATGCTGCACTTGCAGAGCTCAGATGGTGTTGTATTTCAGGGTTAAGGATGCTGCACTCGCAGAGCTCAGGCGGTATTGTATTTCAGGGTCAATGATGTTGTACTCACAGAGCTCAGGCGGTGTTGTATTTCAGGGTTAAGGATGCTGCACTCGCAGAGCTCAGGCGGTATTGTATTTCAGGGTCAATGATGTTGTACTCACAGAGCTCAGGTGGTATTGTATTTCAGGGTCAATGATGTTGTACTCACAGAGCTCAGGTGGTATTGTATTTCAGGGTCAGTGATGTTGTACTCACAGAGCTCAGGCGGTATTGTATTTCAGGGTCAATGATGTTGTACTCACAGAGCTCAGGTGGTATTGTATTTCAGGTTCAATGATGCTGCACTTGCAGAGCTCAGGCGGTATTGTATTTCAGGGTAAATTATGCTGCACTCGCAGAGCTCAGGCGGTCTTGTATTTCAGGTTCAATGATGCTGTACTTGCAGAGCTCAGGTGGTGTTATATTTCAGGGTCAATGATGCTGCACTCGCAGAGCTCAGACGGTGTTGTATTTCAGGGTCAATGATGCTGCACTCGCAGAGCTCAGGCGGTATTGTATTTCAGGGTAAATTATGCTGCACTCGCAGAGCTCAGGCGGTGTTGTCAATGTTGACTTTTGTGGAGAGGTAGCTACCAAGGGAGAGGAAATGCTCAACATTGTCTAACGTTACACCATTAAGCTGTCTTTCTGGCATTGCAGAGGGGTTGGCTGGTGCCTGCTGGAAGGAAGGACCATGCCATTGACATTTTCTTCTCCTTCCAGGATGTCCTCACGGTGGTGGTGGAAGACCTCCGGCTTTGTACCGTCAAGCCCTGTGAAGATATAGAGAGGAGGTTCTGCTTCGAAGTTGTGTCTCCCACTAAGTACGTCCATCTTCACTTCTTTGTGCAGTCTCTTCTTTAATTCCTTCCCATAATATTCTCTCTCTCCTTCTCTCTCTTCCTTCCTTCGGATGGCTGACACTTAGCTTGCAACACAGTCCAAGCGACCTTCTGGCAAACAATCTAGTCCAGTGTGGGCTAGGCAAAACTATGGTGAGGTGGATCTGTAATTGGTTAAATGGACGAACCCAGAGGGGGGTGCTCACCAATGCTTCCTCTTCATCCTGGAAAGAAGTGACGAGCGGAGTGCCACAAGCAGGGTTCCCCCCTGGGCCCGGTCCTGCTCAGGATCTTTATTAATGACTTAGATGAAGGGTTAGAAGGCAGGATCATCAAGTTTGCAGACGACACCAAATTGGGAGGGAGAGCCAAGACTCCAGAGGACAGGAGCAGGATTCAAAACGATCTTGACAGATTAGAGAGATGATGGCCAAAACTAACAAAATGAAGTTCAACAGTGACAAATGCAAGATACTCCACTTTGGCAGGAAAAACGAAATGCAAAGATACAGAATGGGGGACGATGCCTGGCTCGAGAGCAGTATGTGTGACAAAGATCTTGGAGTCCTCGTGGACAACAAGTTAAACATGAGCCAACAATGTGATGTGGCGGCAAAAAAAGCCAATGGGATTTTGGCCTGCATCAATAGGAGCATAGTGTCTAGATCTAGGGAAGTAATGCTACCCCTCTATTCTGCTTTTGTTAGACCACACCTGGAATATTGTGTCCAATTCTGGGCACCACAATTCAAGAGAGATATTGACAAGCTGGAATGTGTCCAGAGGAGGGCGACTAAAATGATCAAGGTTCTAGAGAACAAGCCCTATGAGGAGCGGCTTAAGGAGCTGGGCATGTTTAGCCTGAAGAAGAGAAGGCTGAGAGGAGATATGATAGCCATGTATAAATATGTGAGAGGAAGCCACAGGGAGGAGGGAGCAAGCTTGTTTTCTGCTTCCTTGGAGACTAGGCCGCGGAACAATGGCTTCAAACTACAAGAGAGGAGATTCCATCTGAACATGAGGAAGAACTTCCTGACTGTGAAAGCCGTTCACAGTGGAACTCTCTGCCCCGGAGTGTGGTGGAGGCTCCTTCTTTGGAACTTTTAAACAGAGGCTGGATGGCCATCTGTCAGGGGTGATTTGAATGCAATATTCCTGCTTCTTGGCAGAATGGGGTTGGACTGGATGGCCCATGAGGTCTCTTCCAACTCTTGGATTCTAGGATTCTATGATGTAGGAGTCTTGGTAGACACTTTGTTTATGGGCCTTCCAACTCTAGGACGCTATGGATATCCAGGTCATACTATTCAGTATGTTGTAGGCTTGGTTGATCAAAAAATAAAAGGTTCAAAACTCGTTTCGGATGTAGGGAGCACTGGAGGTTCGATTTGGAATTAAATTCCGAATTTTTCCGAATTTTTTTTCAGAAATTTCCGAATTGCTTCGAAAATCAACAAATACCGCTGGGCAAACTTCAGGGGATTCTCCCTCATTTTTAGACCAATCTTGATGAAACTTGCCACAGTGGTAGAAAACATCCTCCTCTGTCAGCATACCAAATTTCAACATGTTCAGACGATCCATGGGTTTTTGACAATTTTTTAAAGTAATTTCAGTAATGTATATTACAAGAAAAATAAATGAGCTGCCTCCATGATTCTGGAAACAGGCACTTGGCATTTTCTTATGACATCTCTCTATCTATCTATCTATCTATCTATCTATCTATCTATTTATCTCTGCTTCTTTCGCTCACAGAAGCTGCATGCTTCAGGCCGATTCGGAGAAACTGCGCCAGGCGTGGATCCAGGCGGTTCAAGCGAGCATCGCCTCTGCGTACCGAGAGAGCCCGGACAGCTGCTACATCGAAGTGAGTTGATGCCAGAGACAGGAAATGAGCTCACTTTGAAAACAAAAGGCACAGATACAGGATGGGAGATAGAGGGAGAGAGGGAAGGATGGAAGGATGAAAGTGGAAGGGAAGGAAGGGAAGGAAAGAGAGAATGAAGGAAAGACAAAAGGAAGGAAGAAGGAGGGAAAGAGGGAGGAAGGAAGAAGGAAGAAAGGAAGGAAGAGAAGGAAGGAAAGGAAAAGGGAAGGGAGGAGAAGAGGGAGGGAAGAGGGAGGGAAAGAGGGAAGAAGGAAGGAAGGAGAAGGAAAAAGAAGAAGGAAAGAAAGGGAAGGAAGGAGAGAGAGGGAGAGAGGGAAGGATGGAGGGAGAGGAAGAGAAGGAGGGAAGGAAAGGAAAGAGAGAAGGAAGGAAGAAAAAGGAAGAGAGAAGGAGGGAGGAAAGAGGGATGGAAAGCAAAAGGGAAGGAAAGAAGGAAGGAAGGGAGGGAGGGAGATGGGAGGGAGGGAAGAGGGAGGGAAGGAGGGAGGAAAGAAGGAAGGAAGGATGAAGAAAAGGGAAGGAAGGGAAGAAAAGGTAAGGAAGGAAGGGAAGGAGGAAAGAGGAAGAAAGAAGAAGGAAGAAGGAAGGGAGGGAGGAGGGGGGAGGGGAGGGAGGGAGGGAGGGAGGGAGGGGAGGGAGGAGGAAAGAGGGGGGAAGGAGGGAGAAGAAGGAAGGAAGAGAAGAAAGGAAGGAAGGAAGAAAAGGAAGGAGAGAAGGGGAAGGAGGGGGAAAGAGGGAAGGAAAGACAAAAGGGAAGGAAAGAGGAAGGAGGAGGGAGGGAGGGAAAGAGGGAGGGAAGGGAGGAAAGAAGGAAGGAGAAGAAGAAGGAAGGAAGGAGAAAAAGGGAAGGAAGAGAGAGGGAGAGAGGAAGGATGGAAGGGAAAGGGGAAGGGAAGGATGAAGGAAAGAGAGAAGGAGGGAAGAAAGGAAGAAGGAAAAAGAAGGAAGGAAGGAAGGAAGGGGAAAGAGGGAGGGAAGGAGGGAGGAAAGAAGGAAGGAAGGATGAAGAAAAGTGAAGGAAGGAAACAAAAGGGAAGGAAGGAGATAGAGGGAGAGAGGGAAGGAAGGATGAAAGTGTGGAAGGGAAGGATGGAAGGAAGGGAAGGATGAAGGAAAGACAAAAAGTAAGGAAGGAAGGAGAAGGAGGGAGGAAAGAGGGAAGGAAAGACAAAAGGGAAGCAAAGAAGGAAGGAAGGAAGGGGAAAGAGGGAGGGAAGGAGGGAGGAAGGAAGGATGAAGAAAAGGGAAGGAAGGAAAGAGAAAAGGGAAGGAGATGGAGAGAGGGAAGGAAGGAAGGATGAAAGTGTGGAAGGGAAGGATGGAAGGAAGAAAGAAAGGGAAGGATGAAGGAAAAAGAGAAGGAAGGAAAGACAAAAAGGGAAGGAAGGAAGGAGAAAGAGGGAGAGAGGGAAGGCGGGAAGAAAGAGGGAAGGAAGGAAAGAAAAAGGGAAGACAAAAGAGAAGGAAGAAGGAAAAAGAGAAGGAATGGAAGGGGGAAGAGAAGGAAGAAGAAGGAAAGAAAGAGGGAGAAGGGAAGAGGAAGGACGAAAGTGGAAGGAAGATGGAAGAAAGAGGTAGGGATGGGAGGGAGGTAAGGAGGCAAGGAAGGAAGGAAGGAAAGAAAAGGGAGGGAAGGATGAAAGAGTGGAAGGGAATGGAGAGGGGAGAAGAAAGGGAAGGAAGGAGAAAAAGGAAGGAAAGACAAAGGAAAAGAAGGGGAAAGAGAGAAGTAAGAAAAGGAGGGAGGGAAGGAGGAAGGAAAGAGAGGAAGGACGAAAGGGTGGAAGGGAAGGAGAAAAAGGAAGGGAAGGAGGAAGGATAGAGAGAAGAAAGGAAGGATAGGATGGTGAGAGAGAGGAGGGCCTGAGAGAAGAGCCCAAGGGGCCACATCTGGCTCTTGGGCCTGGGTTTGCCCATCCCTGAAATAGAGGAAAGTCATGGTTCCACTCATTCTGCTTTGGTCAGATCTCACTGGGGATAATAGCCTTATGTCCGGTTCTGGGCAAAGCAATTCAAGATAGATGTGGACAAGCTGGAATGGGTCCAAAGAAAGGTGACCCAAATGAAGCCCTCTGAGGAGCGGCTTGGGGATCTGAGTATGTTTAGCTTGGAGAAAAGAAACATATTTGAGGAGCAGTGATGGCATGATCGTCAGCATAGATTTTCACCATTCCTTTTCCCATGTTCTCTTTCCCTCTCTGCCAGAGACTGGACCGGACGGCCTCCCCTTCCACGAGCAGCATCGACTCAGCGACCGACTCCCGGGACCGCAGCGCCAAAGGGGAGACCATCCTGCAGCGGGTGCAGAGCATCCCAGGGAACGATCAGTGCTGTGACTGCGGCCAAGCCGATCCCCGGTGGGCCAGCATCAACTTGGGCATCTTACTATGCATCGAATGTTCAGGGATACACAGGTACTTTGGGACTGGGCCAGAGCTTCCATCCAAATCGTCCCGTCTTCTGTGTGCCCAGGAGGGAGTCTCTCACCCGGTCTCAGCCACTTTTGGACTCTCGCAGGTTTTAGCCTGCCACTTTTGGACTCTTGCTTGCTGAGGTGTTCTTCAAGTATCTCTTAGGAAGCGATTTCTTGATTTAGGGCATTTGCGTGCTGGCTGATATCTGATCAGAGGATGGGCCGGAGATGTCACTACCTTGGTCCTTTCATTATTGGCTGCTACTTCCTGATGGATGTAATTTCTCCATAGTGTAATTTCTCCATAGACATATGGTGTAGACATCCTGTGATAATGTGGCATGTCTCATTAAGAGCACATCCACTGTTTTAATGTGGTGAGATGTTTTCCACATTGTGTATTCAGCAGTAGTTTAGCAAAGCGTAAGTGCAGATGTCTTCACTGTGTCTGGTTGTGATCCCCAGGTTGTGCCAGTCAGCTTTCGTACCATATTATTTCTAGTATTCACTTGTTGCTTGATATTCAGGCAATGCTTCTGTAAGTCAGAGCATGGTCCAGAGTGACTCCCAGATATTTTGGTGCCCTGCAATGGTCCAGTGGGATTCCTTTCCAAGCAATCCTCAGAGCTTGAGATACTTGTTTGGTCTTAAGGTGGAAAGCACACATCTGTGTTTTACATGGATTGGGAATCAACTGTTTTTCTCTGTAATAGACATTAAGAGCAACTAAAACTTTGGAGAGCTTCTGTTCAACCATTTCAAAGCTCCCTGCTTGGGCAGTGATGCCGCAATCGTTAGCATAGATTAAACTTTCTGTCCCTTCTGGCAGTGGCTGATCATTTGTGTAGATGTTACACATTGATGGTGCAAGCGGGTTTTCGCTGTAATAGGCAGTAAGAGCACATAAAGCTTTGGAGAGCTTCTGTTCAACCATTTCAAAGCTCCCTGCTTGGGTGGTGATGGCATGATTGTCAGCGTAGATGAAACTCTCTGTCCCTTCTGGCAGTGGCTGGTCATTTGTGTAGATGTTGAACATGGATGGAGCAAGCACACTCCCCTGAGGCAAGCCATTCTTCTGTTTTTGCCATCTGCTTCTCTGGCCCTGAAACTCAACAAAAAAGCTCCTGTTTTGTAGCAGATTTCCTATGAAGTGGGTGAGGTGGTCGTCCTTTGTGATATTATCATTTTTCCTCAGGAGTAGGCAATGATTTACAGTGTCATAGGCTGCTGACATGTCTATGAAGACAGCTCCTGTGATCTGCTGCCTTTCAAACCCATCTTCTATGTGCTGAGTCAATGCAATGTGCAGCTTCTGCCTTTCCTTGCCATTATTCTATTAATGCTTGCTTTGTGGCTGCCATCCTTACAGGAGTTTGGGGGTGCACTGCTCCAAAGTGCGGTCGCTCACGCTGGACTCATGGGAGCCAGAATTGCTGAAGGTAAATATCAAACCCCAAACAGAAGTGGGTCAAAAGGAATGGGAAAGATGATTTGTATCGCTCCCATCATCCATCGAAACTGAGCCTTTAACGCTTTACCTCTTTGGCTTGTTTTCCCAAAGCTGATGTGTGAGCTGGGCAATGCCACCATGAACCAGATCTATGAGGCACAATGTGAGGAGATGGGACTCAAGAAGCCCAGCGCGGGCAGCTCCAGGTAGGATTACATGGCTAAAGACCTTGGAAAACTGCAACTCCCACGATTCCATAACATTGTGCCATGGCAGTTCAGGGGGTGTCAAAATGTATTCATTCTACAGTGTTAGTCAAGGGGTTATACTTTGAAACTGCTGGATGACCTGGTCTAGTATCTTTCTCTGCTTCTCTTTCTTTCTTTCTTTCTTTCTTTCTTTCTTTCTTTCTTTCTTTCTTTCCGTCCTTCTTGGTTTCCTTCCTTCCTTCCTTCCTTCCTTCCTTCCTTCCTTGCTTGCTTGCTTGCTTGCTTGCTTCTTTCCTTCCTTCCTATTTCCTTCTTTTTTTCCCTTCCTTCCTTCCTTCCTTCCTTCCTTCCTTCATTCCTTCCTTCTTTCTTTCCTCCCTTCTTTCCTTCCTTCATTCTTTCCTTTGTATTTTCCTTCCTTCTTTTCTTCCTTCCTTCAGCCCTTTCATCCTCCCTTTCTTCTTTCTTTCTTTCTTTCTTTCTTTCTTTCTTTCTTTCTTTCTTTCCTTCCTTCCTTCCTTCCTTCCTTCCTTCCTTCCTTCCTTCCTTCCTTCCTTCCTTCCTTCTTTCCTTCCTTTCCTTCCTTCCTTCCTTCCTTCCTTCCTTCTTGCTTTCCTTCCTTCCTTCCTTCCTTCCTCCCTCCCTCCCTCCCTCCCTTCTTTCTTTCCTTCCTTCTTTCCTTCCTTCCTTCCTTCCTTCCTTCCTTCCTTCCTTCCTTCCTTCCTTCCTTCCTCTCTCCCTCCTCCCTCCCTCCCTCCCTCCCTTCCTTCCTTCCTTCCTTCCTTCCTTCCTTCCTTCATATTTTCAAAACATTCCAGCCTGGGAGGAGAAGCAGAGCAGGAGCAGAAAAGGAAACACACTGTTCAGGGAGGGGAAGCGGAGAGAGAAATCCATTATATATTGCAAGGGCTTCTCTCCCCCTCCTTTTCCTTTTCAAAACCTTCTAGCCTGGGAGGAGAAGCAAAACAGAAGCAGAAAAGGAAACACACTGTTCAGGGAGGGGAAGAGGAGAGGGAAATAGATTATATATTGCAAGAACTTCTCTCCCCTTCCTTTCCCTTTCAAAACATTCCAGCCTGTGAAGAGAAGCAGAGCAGAAGCAGAAAAGGAAACACACTGTTTAGGGAGGGAAAGAGGAGAGGGAAATAGATCATAAGATGCAAGCAATGACCTCCAGGCTCCCCATTTTAAGCCAAGGGAGACTTTTCTCAGCCCATGGAAAGGTCTGAAAAACTCGACTTATCTTCGAGTACATATGGTAATCAATTAACACAAATAGAACAATCCTATTTTGGATAAAACTAAAAGGGGGTGGGTGGGGACAGACTGGACGACTCTGCGAACTGGTGATAAACTGAAACCAGAAAATCTGAATTCCTTCCTAGGCAAGACAAAGAAGCTTGGATTAAAGTCAAATACGTGGAGAAGAAGTTCCTCAAGAAGCTGCCATCTGGGGAGGCCCTGGCCGAGAACGAGAGGAAGCCGCGGCGTTGGAGCGTGAAGAAGTGCCAACGGCGCAACAGCTCCACGAAAGCACCCACGGCGCGGAGGAAGTACCGGCACGAGGCAGGAAACGCATCGCCGGCGGCACACTCTTCAGGTGGGGAGGCCCTTTGACTTCCTCCCTCTCTTCCCCCCCCCCACTTCCAATATTCCCATTTCTCAGAGAGAGATTTCTCCACTGATAAAACCCTCATGATAGATGGCCACTCAGCCTGTGTTTCAAGACCACCACACTCGCAGGCAACAGTATATTTCAGCATATATGTGTGTACATGTATGAGGAATAAACAAGAAAACAACTGAGTATAAACAGTATCTTCTTTGCCAACAGCTGCCACGCTGGAACGGAAATTCCGGCGCGATTCCCTCTTCTGTCCCGATGAGCTGGACTCCCTTTTCTCCTATTTCGACACGGGAGCTGGAGCCGGGCCACGCAGTAAGTTGACCCAAACCAGGCATTGGTTGGGCTGCTAGTTGCACCTTTCCCTTTGGCATGTCTTGGGGAGACTTATGGGCATCAGTTCTACAAGAAAGAGAAGAAAAAGTTAATAATAATAATAATATAATTATAATTAATAACGCTTGTGGTGTGAGAGAATTGGTTGTCTGCAAGGATGTTGCACAGGGGGCACCCGGATGTTTTACCATCCTGTGGGAGGCTTCTTGAGAATTGGCTGTCTGCAAGGACGTTGCTTGGGGATGCCCGGATGTTTTACCATCCTGTGGGAGACTTCACTAGAATTGGCTGTCTGCAAGGACATTGCTTGGGGACGCCCGGATGTTTTACCATCCTGTGGGAGGCTTCTCAAGAATTGGCTTTTTGCAAGGATGTAGCCCAGGGGACGCCCCAATGTTTTACCATCCTGTGGGAGGCTTCTCCAGAATTGGCTGTCTGCAAGGACGTTGCCCGAGGACGCCCGGATGTTTTACCATCCTGTGGGAGACTCCTCAAGAATTGACTGTCTGCAAGGATGTTGCCCAGGGCATGCCCGGATGTTTTATTATCCTGTGGGAGGCTTCTCCAGAATTGGCTGTCTGCAAGGACGGTCCCCGAGGACGCCTGGATGTTTTACCATCCTGTGGGAGGCTCCTCAAGAATTGGCTGTCTGCAAGGATGTTGCCCAGGGGACGCCCCAATGTTTTGCCATCTTGTGGGAAGCTTCTGGAGAATTGGCTGTCTGCAAGGACATTGCCCAGGGGACGCCCCAGTGTATTACCATCCTATGGGAGGCTTCGCTCATGTCCCTGCCTGGGAAGCTGGAACTGACAGACGGGAGCTCACCCCTTTGCCTTTGTCTGTTTATTTCTGTTTCGTTGTATGCCATTGTAACAAGGCATTGAATGTTTGCCTGTGTCTGTTTATATGCTGTAATACACTCCTGAAAGCGGTGTAAAATCATATGCCTTTGAGACAATGACGTTCTGCCTGCCTTCTTCTTAGGTGGCAACCACGTCCCTGTACCACAGCCTCTGGCCGCCAGCCCACGGAGTGACAGTGGCCACGGTCCTGTTGGGAGCGGTTCACCATTCCTCCTGGATGGAGGTAAGCAAGGAAGGACTATAAGAGAGTCTGGGTAACTAAGCAGAGCCCCCATGTTCAGATGCCATGTAAAACACTGGTGGAGTTTGAGGAAAATAGACCTTGACATTTGGGAGTTGTAGTTGCTGGGATGTATAGTTCACCTACAATCGAAGAGCATTCTGGACCCCACAAATGATGGAATTGGGCCAAACTTCCCACACAGAAACCCCATGTTTTGAAGGAACCCGTTGTCGTGAGCCTCCTTCCAGCCACACACACTCTCCCTCACCTGCACATGTGCACCATACTGTCATACGCCAAACACGCCTGCTCTCCCCTCCCTGCTTGTTGGCATAAGCCTCCCTCCAGCCTCGCATGCTCTCCCTCACCTGCACATACACACCACGCTGCCATACACCGAGCATGTCTGCTCTCCCCTTCCCCGCTTGTTGGCGTAAGCCTCTCTCCAGCCTCACACGCTCTCCCTCGCCTGCACATACGCACCATGCTGCCATACGCTGAGCATGCCTGCTCTCCCCTTCCCTGCTTGCTGGCATAAACCGCTCTCCAGCCTCACACGCTCTCCCTCGCCTGCACATCCACACCACGCTGCCATACGCTGAGCATGCCTGCTCTCCCCTTCCCTGCTTGCTGGCGTAAACCTCTCTCCAGCCTCACACGCTCTCCCTCGCTTGCACATACAAACCACGCTGCCATACGCCGAGCATGCCTTCTCTCCCCTTCTCTGCTTGCTGGTGTAAGCCTGTCTCCAGCCTCACACGCTCTCCCTCGCCTGCACATATGCACCGCGCTGCCATACGCTGAGCATGCCTGCTCTCCCCTTCTCTGCTTGCTGGCGTAAGCCTCTCTCCAGCCTCACACGCTCCCCCTCGCCTGCACATACGCACCACGCTGCCATACGCTGAGCACGTCTGTTTTCCCCTCCCCGCTTGTTGGCGTAAGCCTCTCTCCAGCCTCGCATGCTCTCCATTGCCCAAACATGCGCACCATGCTACGATGTGCTGAGCACACCTGCTCCCCCCTTCTCGCTTGTTGGCGTAAGCCTCTCTCCAGCCTCGCATGCTCTCCATTGCCCAAACATGCGCACCATGCTACGATGTGCTGAGCACACCTGCTCCCCCCTTCTCGCTTGTTGGCGTAAGCCTCTCTCCAGCCTCGCATGCTCTCCATTGCCCAAACATGCGCACCATGCTACGATGTGCTGAGCACACCTGCTCCCCCCTTCTCGCTTGTTGGCGTAAGCCTCTCTCCAGCCTCGCATGCTCTCCATTGCCCAAACATGCGCACCATGCTACGATATGCCGAGCATGCCTGCTCTCCCCTCCTTGCGCGCTCTCCCTGGCCTACACATGCGCACCACACCACCATCCGCCAAACACGCCTGATCTTCCCTCCCCGCTTGTTGGCATAAACCTCTCTCCAGCCTCGCACACTCTCCCTCGCCTGCACATGCGTACCACGCTGCCATACATCAAACACGCCTGATCTTCTCTCCCCACTTGTTGGCATAAACTTCTCCTCGGCCTTGCAGGCTCTCCCTCGCCTGCACATGCGCACCATGCTACCATACACCGAACATGCCTGCTCTCCCCTCCCTGCTTGTTGGCTTAAGCCTCTCTCCAGAAATGCTGCTCTACTCCACCTTTCTCAGGCATATATCCTGGCAGTGCTGTGCCTGATCCCAAAGGTGGGACGTATAACATTTTCATACCTGTTTGCATAAGACGTAGAGTGAAGCAAGGAAGTGGAGGAACATAGACAGGAACACCACCATAACCACTTTAAGTTCTTGTGGGGTTTTTTGGGCTATATGGCCATGTTCTAGAGGCATTCTGTCCTGACGTTTTGCCTGCATCTATGACAAGCATCCTCAGAGGTGAGGTCTGTTGGAACTGGGAAAAAGGGTTTATATATCTGTGGAATGACCAGGGTGGGGCAAAGGACTCTTGTCAGTTGGGCTAGGTGTGAATGTTTCAACTGAGCGCTTTGATTAGCATACAATGGGCTGACTGTGCCTGGAGCAAACTCTTCTTGAAAGGTAATTAGATGTCCCTGCCTGTTTCCTCTCTGCTGTTTTTGCTGTTCATTTTATTTGAGAACACAAAAATGCTGGACCACTCTCACAGCCACCATGTCAGACTACACAGAGAAGCCATTGAAATCCACAAACATGTGGACAATTTCAACAGAAAGGAAGAAACCATGAAAATGAACAAAATCTGGCTCCCAGTATTAAAAAATTCTAAAATCGCAACAGCAAAAACAGCAGAGAGGAAACAGGCAGGGACATCTAGTTACCTTTCAAGAAGAGTTTGCTCCAGGCACAGTCAGCCCATTGTATGCTAATCAAGGTGCTCAGTTGAAACATTCACACCTAGCCCAACTGACAAGAGTCCTTTGTCCCACCCTGGTCATTCCACAGATATATAAACCCATTGTCCTAATTCCAACAGACCTCACTACCTCTGAGGATGATTGCCATAGATGCAGGCGAAACGTCAGGACAGAATGCCTCTAGAACATGGCCATATAGCCCGAAAAAAACCCCACAAGAACTTAGTGATTCCAGCCATGAAAGCCTTCGACAATACATAACCCCTTTGTTTGCCCGGCAGGTCTAAGTAGTGACAGTGGACTGGGCGGCAGCACAGACGGGAGCAGTGACGTCCTGGTGTTTGGCTCAGTGGTGGACAGTGTCACGGAGGAAGGTAAGGAAGCAACAATCTAGTAATATATAATACTAATATAGTTCTGTGCTTATAATATAATATAATAATATAATATAATATAATATATAGTATATACATATAATATTGATAATAATATTAAAATGTAATGCAATATAATACTAATAACAATAATACAATATAATAATTATATATTTTATATTACATGTAATATTACTAATAATATTACAGTATAGTAATATATCATGTTAATATTGTGCTATGCTAATAATATAATATATTGTATACACATATAATATTGATAATATTATAATGTAATATAATGTAATACAAATAACAATAATATGATATAATAATTATATATATTGATATTACATGTGACATTACTAATAGTATTACAGTATAGTGGTATTATACCATATAATAACAAATAATACTAATATTGTGCTGTGCTAATAATATAAAATATTGTATGCATATATAATACTGATAGTAATATTGTAATATAATATAATATAATATAGTAATATAATATAATGTAATATAATATAATATAATAATTATATATATTTATATTAAATATAATATTACTAATAGTATTACAGTATAGTGGTATTGTACAATATAGTAATATATAATACTAATATTGTGCTGTGCTAATAATATAAAACATTGTATGCATATATAATATTGATAGTAATATTATAATGTAATATAATATAATATAATATAATATAATATAATATAATATAATATATTATAATTATAATGTAATATAATATAGTAATATAATATAATATGATATAATAATTATATATATTTATATTAAATGTAATATTACTAATAGTATTACAGTATAGTGGTATTGTACAATATAGTAATATATAATACTAATATTGTGCTGTGCTAATAACATAACACATTGTATGCACATATAATAGTGATAGTAATATTATAATGTAATATAATATAATACAAATACAATATAATAATTGTATATATTTATATTACATGTAATATTAATAATATTACAGATTAGTGATATTGTACAACATAGTAATAGTACTCATATTGTGCTGTGCTAATAATATAATACATTGTATGCACATATAATATTGATAATAATATTATAATGTAATATAATATAATAATTCTAATGTAATATAATATAATAATATAATAATATGATTATTATGTAATATAAAATAATGTAATATAATGTAATATAATATTATAATGTAATGTAATATAATATAATATATAATAATTATATATATTTATATGAAATGTAATATTATTAATAATATCACAGATTAGTGGTATTGTACAATATAGTAATATAAACTATAGTACTCATATTGTGCTGTGCTAATAATATAATATATTGTATGCACATATAATATTGATAATAATATTATAGTGTAATGCAATGTAATACTAATAACAATAATATGATATAATAATTATATATTTTATATTACATGTAATATTACTAATAATATATATGCATTATGATGCACCCTGAGTCCCCTGCAGGGTGAGAAGGGCGGGATATAAATACTACAAATAAATAAATAAATAAATTCTGGAACACGAGAGAGTATGAGAGGGCCTCAGTGTTAGTTAGCCTCAGTCTGAGAGAGCCCTCAGTGTGAGAAGGCCTCAGTGAGAGAAAGGCCTCAGTGTGAGGGAAGCCCTGGCTTGAAGGCCATGTTTCGTATCTATGACATTGAATGTTTGCCACGTATATGTTCATTATGATGTGCTCTGAGTCCCCTGCAGGGTGAGAAGGGCGGGATATAAATACTGCAAATAAATAAATAAATACATTCTGGAACACGAGAGAGTATGAGAGGGCCTCAGTGTTAGTTCGCCTCAGTCTGAGAGAGCCCTCAGTGTGAGAAGGCCTCAGTGGGAGAAAGGCCTCAGTGTGAGGGAAGCCCCGAATTGAAAGCCATGTTGAGTGTCTACGGCATTGAATGTTTGCCACGTATATGTGCATTATGATCCGCCCTGAGTCAACTGCAGGGTGAGAAGGGTGGGATATAAATACTGCAAATAAATAAATCAATAAATAAATACATTCTGGAACATGAGAGAGTATGAGAGGGCCTCAGTGTTAGTTCGCCTCAATCTGAGAGAGCCCTCAGTGTGAGGGAATGTTTGCCACGTATATGTGCATTATGATCCTCCCTGAGTCCCCTGCAGGGTGAGGAGGGAGGAATATAAATACTGCAAATAAATTCTGGAACACGAGAGAGTATGAGAGGGCCTCAGTGTTAGTTTGCCACAATCTGAGAGAGCCCTCAGTGTGAGAAGGCCTCAGTGGGAGAAAGGCCTCAGTGGGAGGTAATGTTTGCCACTTATATGTGCATTATGATCCGCCCTGAGTCCCCTTCAGGGCGAGGAGGGCGGAATATAAATACTGCAAATAAATAAATAAATTCTGGAACACAGGAGAGTATGAGAGGGCCTCAGTGTTATTTTGCCTCAATCTGAGAGAGCCCTCAGTGTGAGGGAATGTTTGCCACGTATATGTGCATTATGATCCGCCCTGAGTCCCCTTCAGGGCGAGGAGGGCGGAATATAAATACTGCAAATAAATAAATAAATTCTGGAACACAGGAGAGTATGAGAGGGCCTCAGTGTTATTTTGCCTCAATCTGAGAGAGCCCTCAGTGTGAGAAAACCTCAGTGGGAGAAAGGCCTCAGTGTGAGGGAATGTTTGCCACGTATATGTGCATTATGATGCGCCCCGATTCCCCTGCAGGGTGAGAAGAGTGGAATATAAATACTGGAAATAAATAAATAAATTCTGGAACACGAGAGAGTATGAGAGAGCCTCAGTGTTAGTTTGCCACAATCTGAGAGAGCCCTCAGTGTGAGGAGGCCTCAGTGGGAGAAAGGCCTCAGTGTGAGGTAATGTTTGCCACGTATATGTGCATTATGATGCGCCCTGAGTCCCCTGCAGGGTGAGGAGGGCGGAATATAAATACTGCAAATAAATAAATAAATTCTGGAACACAAGAGAGTATGAGAGGGCCTCAGTGTTTGTTCGCCTCAGTCTGAGAGAACCTTCAGTGGGAGAAGGCCTCAGTGGGAGAAAGGCCTCAGTGTGAGGTAATGTGCATTATGATGCGCCCTGAGTCCCCTGCAGAGTGAGAAGAGTGGAATATAAATACTGCAAATAAATCAATAAATAATGTCTCATGGGTCCCCGATGTCTTTTCCGCCCTGACTGTTCCCGCAGAGTGCGAAGTGTCGGAGGAATCCAGCGGAGAAGCGGAAATCGAGCACGAGGCTTCCGACTTGGAGGACCTGCGGGAGCTGCACCCTGGCCTCTTGGTTTACAAGGCCTCGCGGGCCAGGAACCTTCCCATCATGGCGGAGGCCTTGGCCCACGGGGCGGACGTCAACTGGGTGAACGACGAGGACGAGAACAAGACCCCCTTGATCCAAGCTGTCATGGGGGTAAGCCGTTGCGATGTCTGGAACGTGCCGCTTACTTCTGCTCACTACTTAAAACCTGTTCTTTGGGAGCACTTTGTATTATTATTATGATTGTTATTGTTAATTATTATTAACAATAATTAATAGAGCCCCCAGTGGCACAGTGGGTTAAACCCTTGTGCCGGCAGGACTGACGACCGACAGGTTGGAGGTTCCAATCCGATGAGAGTTCAGATGAGCTCCCTCTGTCAGCTCCAGCTCCCCATTCGGGGATATGAAAGAAGCGTTATACCAGGATGGTAAAATATCAAAACATCGCTTGGGCAATGTCCTTGCAGACAGCCTATTCTCTCACGCCAGAAGCGACTTGCAGTTTCTTAAGTGACACAAAATAATAATAATAATAATAATAATAATAATAATAATAATTTATATAAATAAAAATGTAATGTTCGTTTGTGGGATTAACATAACTCAAAAACCACTGGAAGAATTGACACCAAATTTGGACACAAGACACGTATCAGGCCAACGAGTGACTATCACTCATCAAAACATTGGAAAACACAGCAGAAGAGACTTAAAAAGCCAAAAAACAAAATATACATTAGAATGCACGTGCAGAACCACATATATATACGCAAACACATATATACACAGATATATATACACATAAAAAACACATATACACAGACTGGGCCACAGCAATGCATGGCAGGGGATGGCTAATAATAATAATAATAATAATAATAATAATAATAATAATAATAATGCTTTAGACAATACAATAATAATAATAATAATAATAATAATAATAGGACCCCCTTATGTGCAACTGCTGAGCTGCTGAACTTGCTGACCGAAAGGTTAGCAGCTCAAATCTGGGGAGCGGGATGAGCTCCCATTGATAGCCCCACAGCTTCTGCCAACCTAGCCGTTCGAAAACATGCAAATGTGAGTAGATCAATAGGTTCCACTTTTGCGGGAAAGTGACGGTGCTCCATGCAGTCATGCTGGCTACATGACCTCAGTGGTGTCTATGGACAATGCCGGCTCTTCGGCTTAGAAATGGAGATGAGCACCAGCCTTCAGAGTTGGGCACGTCTGGACTTAGTGTCCCGGGGAAAACCTTTACCTTAATAATAATAATAATAATAATAATAATAATAATAATAATAATAATAATAGAAGTGTCTGCCGTGTGATCCAATACAACAGCCAGCAGAGTGATCTTGTCTGCTGTGGATTCATCTTGTTGCGTTTCTAATAATAATAATAATAATAATAATAATAATAATAATAATAATAATAATAATTTATATTCTGCCCTTCTCCCCAAGGGGATTCCAACATATAAACAGACACAGGCAAAAATTCAATTCCTTGTAACACTGAAATGCAATGAAAAAGAAATACACAGACAAAGGCAAAGGCTTCTCCTTTTATCTCCCTGTCGTCTTCTCCAGGGCTCCTTGATAGCTTGCGAATTCTTGCTCCAGAACGGAGCAGACGTTAACCAAAGAGATATCCGAGGGAGAGCGCCGCTGCATCATGCCACGTATTTGGGCCACACCGGGTAAGTCCTTGAATCACGGAATTGCATTGGGGCCATTCCAGTCAAAGGGCATTGCTCATCTGCTTAGGTTGTCTTCACTTAAGGATCAATTCTAACATCTTGCCTTTTTTTGATATCTGTTCGACAGCCAAGTCTGCTTGTTCCTGAAAAGAGGAGCCAACCAACACGCGGTTGATGAAGACGGGCAGGACCCTCTCAGCATCGCGGTCCAAGCTGCTAATGCAGACATTGTTACCTTGTAAGTCGACACAACTCATCATAGATGAAACTCTCTGTCCCTTCTGGCAGTGGAGGATCATTTGTGTAAATGTGAAACATTGATGGCAGAAGCTGGTTAATAGCCAGTAAGATCACCTAAGTTTCTGTTCAACCATTTCAAAGTTCTCTGCTTGAGCAGTGATGACACGATCGTCGGCATAGATGAAACTCTCTGTCCCTTCTGTCCGTGGCTGATCATTTGTGTAAACATTAAACATCGATGGTGCAAGCTAGTTTTTCTTGTAACAGGCAGTAAGAGCACTTAAAGCTTCAGAGAGATTCTATTCAGCCATTTCAAAGCTCCCTGCTTGAGTGTTGATGGCTTGATCGTCAGCGTATATGAAACTCTCTGTCCCTTCTGGCAGTGGATGATCATTTGTGTCAATGTTAAACATTGATGGCAGAAGCTGGTTTTCCCTGTAATAGCCAGTAAGATCACCTAAAGCTTCTGTTCAGCCGTTTCAAAGTCCCCTGTTTGAGCGGTGATGGCACAATCATCAGCCTAGATGAAACTCACTGTCCCTTCTGGCAGTGGATGATCATTTGTGTAAATGTGAAACATTGATAGCGGAAGCTGGTTTTCCCTTTAATAGCCAATAAGAGCACCTAAAGCTTTGGAGAGCTTCTGTTCAACCATTTCAAGGCACCCTTCTTGAGCATTGATGGCATGATCATCAGCATAGATGAAACTCTCTGTCCCTTCTGGCACTGGCTGGTCATTTGTGTAAATGTTAAACATTGATGGTGCAAGCTAGTTTTTCTTGTAATAGGCAGTAAGAGCACCTAAAGCTTTGGAGAGCTTCTGTTCAGCCATTTCAAATCTCCCTGCTTGAGCGTTGATGGCATGATCATCAGCATAGATGAAACTCTCTGTCCCTTCTGGCAGTGGCTGATCATTTGTGTAAATATTAAACATTGATGGCGGAAGCTAGTTTTTCTTGTAATAGCCAATAAAATCACTTAAAGCTTCTGTTCAACCATTTCAAAGTTCCTGCTTGAGTGGGGATGATGTGATCGTCAGCATAGATGAAACCCTTTGTCCCTTCTGGCAGTGGCTGATCATTTGTGTAAATATTAAACATTGATGGCGGAAGCTAGTTTTTCTTGTAATAGGCAGTAAGAGCACCTAAAGCTTCGGAGAGATTCTGTTCAACCATTTCAGAGCTCCCTGCTTGAGCGTTGATGGCATAATCATCAGCATAGATGAAACTCTCTGTCCCTTCTGGCAGTGGCTGGTCATTTGTGTAAACATTAAACCTTGATGGCGCAAGCTTCGGAGAGCTTGTCCACAACCATCTTAAAGTTCCCTTCTTGAGCGGTGATGGCATGAAACTCTCTATCCTTTTTGGCAGTAATTGATGCATGAGAGGCAGGCATTTGGGGCAGATGGGGAGCCACCACCGAAAAGGCCCTTGCTAATCAAACCATTTCTCTCCTTTCCTTCCTTCAGGTTGCGCCTGGCTCGAATGAACGAAGAGATGCGAGAAGCCGAGGGTCCGTTTGGTCATCCAGGTCAATATCCTAACAACAGCCCCACAGAGCTCCAGTACAGGAAATGTATACAGGAGTTCATCAGCCTTAACATAGATGAGTGTTAGTGATTCCTCCCGCAACCCTGCTGCCTCCTCCTCCTCCTCCTCCTCCTCCTCCTCTGTTTTGGGTCCAAATTTAAGGATGCTGACTGAGCCCTGGAAAGAAAGAAAGAAAGAAAGAAAGAAAGAAAGAAAGAGAGCAAACCATAGAGATGTCTTTGGTGGGGTGGGAGGGCATGTCGAGGAAGCGAGAGGACAAGAGAATGAGAAAATGGGGGAAAGACCCCTTGAGAGAAGAATCGGGAAAACTTTTCGTACTGTAGCACCTCTTAGGCTGGATCTACACTGCCAAATAATGCATTATTGGTGGGAGGGGGTTGATTTTGTCATTTAGGAATTGTAGTTGCTGGGATTTATAGTTCACTTACAATCAGAGAGCATTCTGAACTCCACCAAGGATGGAATAGAACCAAACTTGGCACACAGGATTCCCATGAACAACAGAAAATACTAGGCATTCATTTTGTCCTTTGGGAGTTGTAGTTGCTGGGATTTATAGTTCACCTACAATCAGAGATCATTCTGAACTCCACCAAGGATGGAATCGAACCTAACTTGGCACACAGGACCCCCCACGAACAACAGAAAATACTGGGCATTGATTTTGTCATTTGGGAGTTGTAGTTGCTGGGATTTATAGTTCACCTACAATCAGTGAGCATTCTGAACACCACCAAGGATGGAATCGAACCAAACTTGGCACACAGGACCCCCATGACCAACAGAAAATAAGGGGGTGGGTTGGGCATTGATTTTGTCATTTGGGAGTTGTAGTTCACCTACATCCACAGAACACTCTGGACTCAAATGATGATCTGGACCACCAAATTTGGCACGAATCCTCAATATGCCCATATGTGAACACGGGTGGAGTTTGGGGAAAATAGACCTTGACATTTGGGAGTTGCAGTTGCCAGGATTTATAGTTCACCTCCAATCAATGATCCCCTTGAACTCCACCAATGATAGAATTGGGCTTAACTTCCCACACACAACCCCCATGCCCAACAGAAAATACTGGAAGGGTTTGGTGGGCATTGACCTTGAGTTTGGGAGTTGTAGTTCACCTACATCCAGAGAGCACCGTGGACTCAAACAATGCTGGATCTGGACCAAACTTGGCACGGATACTTAATATATGTATATGTGAACACTGGTAGAGTTTGGGGAAAATAGACCTTGACCACCCTGATCCGGGGTCGAACTGCCAACCTTTCGTTTGGGAAAGATCTATTGCTGCTGGCGATTAACCAGCTGTGCTAAAGCCCGGCCCAATAGACCCCATACAGTGTATTATTTAGCAGTGTAGATCAAGTCATAGATTTGCTTTGGATGGGATCCAAATGGAAGGAGGTTTCTCTCTCTCCATCTCTCAGTCTCTCTGCCTCCTTCTTTTTCGATCTGTCCGATACACACACGCTGACTTTCCAACTTGCCATGGGACCGGATGGGTTGGAAGGCTGATGGTGGCAAAAATAAACAAACCCCGCACACACCAAGCTGGTGGTTGGTTTCGGAAGGGCCGCTGTCCGTCCCAATTGCGTGCGCTGCAGTTTCTTGGATCGAGAGGCATGACTCCCCACCGTACGTGCTCTCAGGTTAAAAGCCAGCAAACGCGTCCTCCGACTTTTGGGGAGGGTGGGGGAAATTCACCGGGAGCGAAGCCTAGCTGGTTCAAAGCCATAACTCAGCCGCTTCCAAGATGAGGACACAATTTTTGTAGGGCGAAGACAGATGCACATGCTCTTTACGCAAAGTCGGCATATCTTCTCCATTGGGATCGAGCTCTGAGGCTGGACACAGAAAAACGTACTACAGTCTTCCCTCGTTACTTCGCGGTTCGCTTTTTTGCGGATTCACTTTTTTGCGGGTTTTTGAAAATATTAAAAATATTAAATATTTACGTCCAGTAATGGCCAGGGAGACCAGGGATCCCAGAAGTGCGGTGGCCTGAGGAGCAGTGGGGAAAGCCTGCTTCCTTTGCCTCCACAGATCCCTGAAGTGTGGCGGCCTAAGGAGCGGCGGGGAAGGCCTGCCTCCTTCGCCTCCACAGACCCCAGAAGTGCAGTGGCCTAAGGAGCGGTAGGGAAAGCCTGTCTCCCCCGCCTCCACAAACCCCGGAAGTCCGGTGGCCTGAGGAGCAACGGGTAAGGCCTGCCTCCCTCACCTCCACAGACCCCGGAAGTCCGGCGGCCTGAGGAGCAGCGGGTAAGGCCTGCCTCCCTCGCCTCCACAGACCCCGGAAGTCCGGCGGCCTGAGGAGCGGCGGGTAAGGCCTGCCTCCCTCGCCTCCACAGACCCCGGAAGTCCGGCGGCCTGAGGAGCGGCGGGTAAGGCCTGCCTCCCTCGCCTCCACAGACCCCGGAAGTCCGGCGGCCTGAGGAGCGGCGGGTAAGGCCTGCCTCCCTCGCCTCCACAGACCCCGGAAGTCCGGCGGCCTGAGGAGCGGCGGGTAAGGCCTGCCTCCCTCGCCTCCACAGACCCCGGAAGTCCGGCGGCCTGAGGAGCGGCGGGTAAGGCCTGCCTCCCTCGCCTCCACAGACCCCGGAAGTCCGGCGGCCTGAGGAGCGGCGGGTAAGGCCTGCCTCCCTCGCCTCCACAGACCCCGGAAGTCCGGCGGCCTGAGGAGCGGCGGGTAAGGCCTGCCTCCCTCGCCTCCACAGACCCCGGAAGTCCGGCGGCCTGAGGAGCGGCGGGTAAGGCCTGCCTCCCTCGCCTCCACAGACCCCGGAAGTCCGGCGGCCTGAGGAGCGGCGGGTAAGGCCTGCCTCCCTCGCCTCCACAGACCCCGGAAGTCCGGCGGCCTGAGGAGCGGCGGGTAAGGCCTGCCTCCCTCGCCTCCACAGACCCCGGAAGTCCGGCGGCCTGAGGAGCGGCGGGTAAGGCCTGCCTCCCTCGCCTCCACAGACCCCGGAAGTCCGGCGGCCTGAGGAGCGGCGGGTAAGGCCTGCCTCCCTCGCCTCCACAGACCCCGGAAGTCCGGCGGCCTGAGGAGCGGCGGGTAAGGCCTGCCTCCCTCGCCTCCACAGACCCCGGAAGTGCAGCGGCCTGAGGAGCTGCAGGGAAAGCCTGCCTCCCTCGCCTCCACAAACCCCGGAAGTGATTGATACATCAGCGATTCCCAACCTTTGGTCCTTCCAAGTGATTTGGACTTCAGCGCTCACAATTCCAATTTATTTATTTATCCACAGCATTTATATTCCATTCTTCTCTCCCAGATAAAGAACCCAAGAGATACATAAATACATATGTGAAAATGTGTGTGTGTGTGTGTCATGAGCAAGGGCTTGATGGATCTGGACCTAACTTGGTACACACACCTTTGATGATCCAACTTAAAATACTGGTGGGATTTCAACTAAAAAAAGAATAAATTGTGTTTGGAGGTGGGGCCCCCAAAATAAATAAATACTAGGCATAGGCAATCCATGGTTTTAAATGGTTCTAAAGTACCAGGGGATGCTGGTGCTTTGCTTCTAAAGTGTTGCTAAAGTTCTGGTGGTGAAAATTTCAGAATTCTAACACAATTTTTAAAATTTCATTATAAGTGGCAGTTCCTAATTGGTTCTGTCATAAAAATTGCCAATAACGAAATAATAATGAAATTTTGAAAGTTTTGTTAGAGTTCTGAAATTTTCACCACCAGAACTTCAGCAACACTTTAGAAGCAAAGCAACAGCACCCGCTAGTTTTGTAAGTACTTTAGAACCATTTAGAAGCATGAAATTTGGAAAGTTTTGTTAGAGTTCTGAAATTTTCACCACCAGAACTTTAGCAACACTTTAGAAGCAAAGCAATAGCACCCGCTAGTTTTGTAAGTACTTTAGAACCATTTAGAAGCATGAAATTTGGAAAGTTTTGTTAAAATTTTCACCACCAGAACTTTAGTAACACTTTAGAAGCAAAGCAACAGCACCTGCTAGTTTTGTAAGTACTTTAGAACCATTTAGAAGCATGACATTTGGAAAGTTTTGTTAGAGTTCTGAAATTTTCACCACCAGAACTTTAGCAATACTTTAGAAGCAAAGCAACAGCACCCGCTAGTTTTGTAAGTACTTTAGAACCATTTAAAAGCATGACATTTGGAAAGTTTTGTTAGAGTTCTTAAATTTTCACCACCAGAACTTTAGTAACACTTTAGAAGCAAAGCAACAGCACCTGCTAGTTTTGTAAGTACTTTAGAACCATTTAGAAATATGTATGTACCTATGCAGCACTTGGATGTCACCACAAGAGGACAGTATATACTGTTAGATAGAAAGGCTACCTCAGAGAGGTGACAAAGGGAAGAAAGCTAGAACACAAGGAGGGCCAGAGTATTCTATGGGTGGCCTTCTCAGAAGGCCAGGCAAGGATGGAAGTGAGCTGGAAAAAGGAAAAAGGAGGCCTTCAGATGATAAAACTGGGGTAGTAATTCAGTTCTAAACAGAATCCTATATTCAGAAAATGTATATTGGGCAACACCAGGTCCATACACGAATAGGTATAAGACTGTAAAGTACAACTGAAGCATTTGCTGCAGAGTCCACTTTCATGTCAAGGCCTAAATCAGCCACTAGGTGGCATCCAGAAACCTTTTACTGTGGCCAGATTTGTCACTAACCCCATTTTCAATTGTGGTGACCCCAGTTCTACCTGATGTGGTCAATCTCAGTCTTCGCCATCGCGAAGTAGCGAGGGAACACTGTATTCAGAAAATGTATACTAGGCAACACCAGGTACATACACTAATAGGTATAAGACTATAATTATGAAGTACAACTGAAGCATTTGCTGCAGAGTCCACTTTCATGTCAAGGCCTAAATTAGCCACTAGGTGGCATCCACAAACCCTTACTGAGGCCAAATTTGTCACTAACCCCATTTTCAATTGTGGTGACCCCAGTTCTACCTGATGTGGTCAATCTCAGTCTTTGCCAT